GTCAAAGTTAAGTTGTTAAAGTAATTTGTGTAAGAATTCATCAACAATTTTAAACGCTGCATTGATCGAATGATGTAGTGAAATATTTTTTATTCACTTTTCAGTATTGAATAACTAATCCATCAAGTTTGACACTAAATGATAAGAAATGAGTGGAACTGATGGCTTTTTTTCTTTTGGAAGTTCGAAAAAACATTGATGATGGATAGAAATAGGTCGAAACACATTCGAATCACCTTGTATAGTACATTGTTGAATTCAGAATAAAAAAACCTTTCAGAATCTGTGAAAAAATTATCAGGACCGTATTTAAAAAACAAAAGTTGATGATGGTTCCACGAATACGAAACGTCGCATAAAAAAATCGGTATCACCACGTTAAACCTCATCAAAAGTTGCAATGAAAAAGTATTTTCAGTTTTTCTGTATCTCTGATAATAACGGAGAAAAAAAATAAAATAGAAATTCCAAAAATTCTTCTTTTTCGATATAACTCAAAAACTAAAAATAATTTTCAAAATTTTCGAAGGCTCTTGATATGAGCCTCCGAATGCGCAACTTTTTCCCCATTTAAGCGACTTCGTATCTCCTACCGTTTCCGAGATCCCCATGCTGTTCAACCTTATCTTGGACAGACTGTATATACATCATCTAAATCACGAACTAAAAATTGAAATCTGAACTATATCTCATCCTGAAAGTTTCGTGATTTTTCTTTTTCAATTTTTTTTTTATTTCGTAATGATTGTTCAACAGAATATTTGAAATGGTTTTAGAGAATGTTCTGCTGATTCCATCAAAGGACCCACAACTGCAACATTGATTCTCGGAATAGTTGAGAAGGGAATTGATTTTAATTTCTGCTAAATTCTCCAAAACTTTATGTTGTGACTTACATTGTAGAAATATTGTTTCGAATTTTTCAGAAACCAATATTAGTTGGTCTGAACCATACGCCATTTAGAAATGAAATGAGTAATAAAAAGTATATCGCCCTTTGCCAGTCCAAGGAATTACCGCGAAATCGTAATACAGCGAAATTTGGGTATAGGTAGGTATAATGGCCCATTTTTTACGCGCTCTTTATATTTAATTTCTTTCGGAGTCATTGTAGGTAACTGTACAATTTTTTCACTATTCAGTTGATTCATTATCGTAGTTTGATATACTGAGTTAGTTTCATCTTATTCCAATTCCAAATTTGCAAAAAATAGTATTCTGTAGTACAACGTCCTGATTTTCAATAAAATGGAATTTCGATACAACGCCATAACTCGGTATTGATTCATCCTATTGGATTCATTTTTTCACCAAAAGTTGGGGAATTCGTTGAGGATCATTTCGTTTCGATTGAGTGTGTTTCTGAAATCTATAGTGAATGAGCTATAGCCTATCAATTACGAACGCACCAGTACGGACTGATGTGAAATCTCAACCTACTAGTGTGACGTTAGCACCGAGAGAGAGAGGGGATAGACTACGGCCCGGTGAGATAGAGTAGGCCCTGGGTTAGCCTTCTAGAGACCGAGGCGAATGTATGCTACCGCGTCAACCCAGCTTATCAACGGACAACTTGTAAATTCCCATTAAATTAACGGTCAACTCATCAACGACCCAATTTATCAACGGCCCAAATCATCAACGCACCCTCTTCATCAACACCCAAATAAGCAACGACCCAACCCATTAACGACCCATCTTATTCCCATTTAATTAACAGTCAACTCATCAACGACCCAATTCATCAACGGCGCAAATCATCAACGTACCCACTTCATCAATACCCAAATAAGCAACGATCCAACTCATTAAAGACCCATCTCATCTACACACCCATTCCGTCAATCTCTAATTCGTCAACGACCCAACTCATCAACAACCCAAGTCATCAACCTATTCAGTTCATCAATTCCCAACACATCAACGATCTAACCACTTATTTTTGCCTCGCTTCTCAGCACCACTTATATATAATTTCATATTTTTGAAATATCATTAATTTATGAAGAATTCGTTAAATGAACTAAGTAAAATATTACATTGAGGTAATTTTTATGTTTGCGTTGTTGCCGCTGTAGAATAAGAACATCTGAAGTTCCGTCCCGAGTTACCCCCAGATGAAATTTGATCAACTGTTAATGTCTCAACTGGAACGTTGATAAGTTGGGTCGTTCATGAGTTAGGTCGTTGATGAGTTGAGTCGTTGGTGAGTCGGGTCGTTGATAGGTTGAGGCGTTGATGATTTGGGTAGTTCTCTGAATGTCGTTGATGAGTTGGGTCGTTGGAGAGTTGGGTCGATGTAGAGTTGGTTGGTCTTTGGCGAGTTGGGTTGTTGATGAGTTGAGTCGCTGGTGAGATGGTTCGTTGGTGATTTGGGTGGTTCATGGGTTGGGTTGTTGGTGAGTTGAGTCGTTGATGAGTTGGAACGTTGTTGATTTGGGTATGATAAAATAGGTACATACATGATCGAGTTGGGTCGTTGATGAGCTGGGTAGTTGGCCAGTTGAAATGGACACGTCGATGAATTTGGTCATTGATGAGTTGGGTATTGATGAAATGGGCGCGTTGATGAGTTCGATCGTGAATGAGTTGGGTATTGATGAAATTGGTACGTTGTTAAGGTGGGTCGTTGATCGTTTGGGTAGTTGGTGAGTTGGGAGATAATGATTTGGATGCGTTGAATTGGGTCGTTAATGATTTGCTTCGTTGGTGAAATGGATGCGTCGATGAGTTGGGTCGTTGACAGGGTGGGTGTTGATAAAATGAGTGTGTTGATGAGTTGGATCGTTGATCATTTGGGTGTTGATAAAATTGGTCCGTTGATGAGTTGGGCGTTATTGAAATGGGATTTGGTAAGCTGTCTGTTGATGAGCTGGGGTCAAATCACTGGTAAGGTTATTAGTGCCTTTCCTACATTAGAGGAGTTTATGTGTAACTCGAGTTTTCCATTCCACTACTAACATTAGAGATCATCATCATTCAGGAAATTCTCTCAATGAGAATTAACAGTTTTTCAACCTAGGTGAATAATGAAAAACTTTCAGGTAGCCGTGCGGACAGAGTGTCTATATTCTAATTCGCATTCGCTTGCTGGTCGTGGGTTCGATTCCCATCGACTGCAGAAATTTTTCTGATGGCCCAAGAAAGTGTTTGAGATCACACGTTAAAAGGTAAGGCCCCCGTCTTTCCTTGCTCGCACAAGACTTTCGAAGACTTCTGAGGGTTGCTCGTAAGGGGGCAACCGAATGACGGATAGAACAATTTTAGAACAATTTTTTAGTATGCGTAACTGTTGTGATATACCTATGCAACCAGTAAAACATTATCAACCCAATCGTGAACCGATTATAGTTGAGACTGTTAAATTCACCAGAAGTAAAAGCAATTAACTAATTAATTCTTTAAAATCCTTGGAACACCGTAAAAGAGTCGATGACCTTTCCATTTTCTATGGATACTTCCACGGCAAATGTTGTTCAGAAATCTTTCAGTCAGACTTACTCGACTTGCTCGTCAGCCACATCCTTTTTTCGTCAACCTAGATCTATGTCAAAAAACTCTTTTCCAAAACTCTTTTGTCTTGTTTGTAGAACGGCAAAGATTTGAAAGTTTTTGCCAAAGGAAGTATTTCCAAGAACTTATAACCTCTTTCAATTTCAATAGTAATGCTCATCGAACAGATGATCGAGATAAAAAAATATTGAAGTTATAAAGGAATGTTTGGAATTATGTATAATGATTATGATAATGCCACAATCATTCGCGAGCTGAGATGTTGACAACTGAACCACATACGACTCCCAGGCTACTTGATATATTATCAAAATATTTTAAATATGTTCAATGAGCACGGCGAATACCTACGTTTCCTTTCTTCCCTGAAAATGAGAATTCATAAAATATATGTTTGTAACCTCTAGTGTTAGTAGTGGAAAAATAGTATATACCGGGTGTCCCAGTATACCTGTTCCAATGGATTATCTCAGTCATTTCGAAAGTAACAAATTTGAAAATTTCATGATCTCCAATCCGTTCAAGTAACCTTCAACTGAGAAGAACGAAAATTGTAAGTCACTTCCGGTTTGACCGGAATGAGTCTAACTTCTTCATTTCAAATAGCACCCTGTATATTTTTTGCGATTTTTGCTTTCTACTCGAAATTACCTTTCCAACGATGTATCACACTTTGCATTTTACAATTCATTTGATAGAGAAAACGAAAATTGAAATTTGAAATCGAAAGAATTGCAGTAGACTACGATATTTTGTGTACATGATTTGTTCCTCAATAATTGATGATTCATCAACAATTTTGCATTCGAGATGATGAAGAGAACGTCAAATTTCAAATTATTATAGAAATATGTAGTAGAACTGGAAGAATTAATAATTCTCAAATGAAAACCTTAGTGTGCCATGGAAACATTTGAATACATTTGTTTGTATCTTTGACAGTTAATAATTCTCAATGATTGTGTGCGACATTCAAGAATGAATAACCGTGAAAATGATATGATAACTTCACAATTCAAGAGAAATTGGATATGATACTGATTTTAATTCCAAATTTCAATTTGTCGTTTTCTTCATCATATCAAATGTAAAATACAAAGTGTGATACATCGTTGGAAAGGCAATTTTGAGTAGAAAGCAAAAATTGCAAAAAATATACAGGGTGCTATTTGAAATAAAGAAGTTAGAGTCACTTCCGGTCAAACCGGAAGTGACTTTCAATTTTCGTTTTTCTCAGTTGAAGGTTCCTTGAACGAATTGGAGATCATGAAATTTTCAAATTTATTACTTTCGAAATGACTGAGATAATCCATTGGAACAGGTATACTGGGACACCCGGTATACCTCGCACGTTATGTCCTTCAGGACTTGGCACCTCAGGGTATAGAAGTGCTTGATAGCTCACTTCTCACCCCAGGTCTGTGATATATTGAATTGTCTCTATACTTTTTCATGTAAAATGTAAGTGACGATGTTAAATTATTCACCTCAAGAATGAATGAAGACGCTCCAAACTCCATATTATCTTCCAAATAAATCCTAGCAAACATCCTATCCATAGGTTTGAATGTCGCAGATTGGGCAGGTACATAACAACCAACTTGAGCCATAACTTGCAGTAATAGGACTTGTCTAATGAAAACACTTTTACCAGAACCGTTTGGTCCAGTTATTATGTTGACGTTGAAATCGTCAGAGCAAGTCTACAACAGATCATATAAATTTAGTTCACTATATAAGAGCCAGCTGCATAACCCCTCTGTTAGCTTGGGCAGGAATCAACTCCTATAACTCATCAGCTAGAATATGCGTTGCATAATGTTAATCAGATAGCAATAAAACTCCTAGTCATCTCCACATTATTATTAAATAATTGTGGTGATGACTGGGAGTTCCACTACTATTTCATCCTTTTACTCCCCTTTGATCTTTGATGTACCATGGACTTCTACATACAGATCATATATTCAATCGTTTGTAATGGTATATTACATAACAAGAGTTGTAAAACGTATATTACGCACGAAGTGGAGAGAGTTACACACGATGCCGCGTAGCATGAATTGCATACCAAGCCATTTTCCTCAATTTGAACTAAAATTAACATTTATAGTGGTGATTTATAATCACTGTCCAGTTGTTGAAAGTGATAGAATAATTTCCGTAAATGACATGATATCATTCCCGAGTTTCCAGTCCACGAATTTTGTGTAAGCGATTTCGTATCTTTCATGAGATTTTACAAGTAGCAACTCATTTGTTGCCATTTTTGCTCTTTCCAGAATTTCTGGTGGTGAAAAATAATCCCATCGTCATCGCTTGACAATTTTCAACTGAAATTTGGAAATATCAATAGCAAATTATCATTTTCAAAAAATATGACCTGCCCACTTTCTGGTTCGTTCAATAACTTGATTTATTGATGAAAAGATAGATTAGCTACTGACATTTAACTGAAATTGACACATTGCCTAAGCAACAAAACAAAGTCATCTATCAACATAACTATGAAAACCGTGCGATCGCTCGCTTTACGCACACGTGCGTAAGGAGCTTACTGACATTATTTTGTGTACAATATTCATCACCTACAATATAGTAGTCGTAGGAAAAATGATTTTTTCTACTACTGCTATGAAAAGTGGCGCATTTCTCATAGCTTACGTTTCAAAACCATGTATTGCTCATACTGTGACACATTCCACAAAAATCGACCAAAACTTAATTGTCTGGTGTTCAGTTTTGAATAGTTGTCACAACTGCCAGAAGAAGTTTTTTAAATTCTTTAGGGTAGTTCTCATTAGTGCTATTGATACAAATCTTATGGAATCTAAAAAAATACAGAAATAAAATCGTTATCGGAAAGTGTACTTTTTTAAATACTTTGAGGAACTAGCAAAGGCGTCTACTCTTTAGCCACAATATTCAATGTGGCATAGTGCCACATTATGAAATGAATACCAATAAGTTACATTACTTGGATTCTTCGGATAAGTGCAGTGGTGAAAAAAAAATTGCACACTATTCTTGTGGGGAAAGTACTTTTCTCACTCGTGTGTTTGCATCACTCGCCCTTCAGGCTCGTGCCACAAACGTTCACATTCGTGAGAAAAGTTGAACTTTCTCCACTTGTTGCACAATATACTATATGCAACCAGCCCTATAATTATTAAAACCTGATGTTCCACTTCTCAATACAATAAACCCTTATATATTCTAATCTGAGCTTTTGTTCTCGGCTTTCAATTCTATGCTCAATTCCAAACTGTGACGTGAGTTTATCATTTAGAAATTATTGTTAAGATCAGATAATTTAATATTCTGAAAATAAGTTGAAGTGGCAACACAAGGATCTTTCAATCATAGTATAGTGAATTTCACATACCGAGAAAGTACATGTACCCACTACAATGACTGACATGGATGAATATAGTGAATAGAATGGATAGAATAGATAGGATGGATAAAATAGATAGGATGGATAGAATAGATAGGATGGATAGAATAGATAGGATGGATAGAATAGATTGAATGGATAGATGGGGTCAATTCAGTCGGTCAGAAATATAGCTTTTCTTGATATTTTAATGGACTGTATGACTTTTCAAAATTATTTAATTATCTGACAAATACATATTCATTCCGTTTCCAAGATAACTACAGAATGTTATAAAAATAAAATCATTATGAACAACAACATTCTCCCCCCTAGTGAGGAACATCTTGATGGATTGTTTCTTCACTCTGGGTTATATTCATTCGACATAGTTTGGAGACTGGTCGTCGAAAAATACCATACTGGGTCTTCACGTCGGCCACTCTTACTCTTCCATCGGGACCAAGTATAATGTTCTCCACTTTGCCCATTCTCCAAAGGTTTCGGGGTGCAGTTTCATCCACAATGATTACAATATCATTTTCCTTTAATGATTCTGTCTCATGTGTCCATTTAGTGCGCTTGGTTAATGAGGGCAAGTATTCCTTGACCCACCTTTTCCAAAATGAGTCAGCCATTTGTTGAGTTTTTCGCCATTCCTTTCGCAAAAACTTTCCATCAAATTTTCCTAATGGTTTGTCACCACAACTTGAACCCAACAACCAGTGATTTGGAGTGAGTGCTTCAAAATCAGTCGGATCTATCGATACGTGGGTTAGGGGTCTGCTGTTCAAAATTAACTCAATCTCACTAAAAAATGTTGATAAGGTTTCATCCTTCAAGCTGTGCCCATTCAGAATAGCATGAAGACATCTTTTAACGCTTCCAATCAGCCTTTCCCATGATCCAGCCATATGTGCAGCGCCCGGAGGTAAAAATACCCATTCAATATCTTTCATACAGAGGAATTCTGATATTTTTGCTTTATCCAAGTCTCTAACCGATTTTTTGAGTTCTTCTGCCGCTCCACGAAAGTTCGTCCCGTTGTCTGAAATAATCTGCCTTGGAGGACCTCTTCTGGAAATCATACGTCTTATAGCCATAATAGCCGAGTCGGTGGTCAAAGAATGTGCAATTTCTAGGTGTACAGCTCTAATGGACATGCACGTGAAGATAACTCCCCATCTTTTTTCTGTATGTCTTCCAATTTTTACTTTTAGTGGACCAAAATAATCGATACCGGTATAGGTAAATGGTCGTGCACTGGGTGTTAGTCGGAAAGCAGGTATTTGTCCCATCAGTGGCAATTCGGGTTTTGCCTTCCTAATACGGCACTTCAGACATTTTGCAAATACTGACCTAACCGCTGCTCTTCCATCGAGTATCCAGAATTTCTGTCTCAACGCATTCAGTACAGTTTCGAGGCCTTGATGTAAATATTTTTCATGATGATACTGAATGAGAAGAATAGTAAATCGGTGCTTAGATGGAAGGATATACGGCCGTCTTGTTCGCTCTGCCAGAAACGTCGTGAGGTCGGTTCTTCCACTCAACACTATGATACCATCTTCGAGAGCCGGTGTAAGTTGGTGTAGTCTGCTGTGTATATTCAATGGTCTATCTTTCTTCAATTCTTTCAATTCCTCAGGAAACGACTCAGATTGGCAATTGCGAATCCATAGTTTTTCCGCTTCTTTCATCTCGTGTGTTGTCAATATTAGTTCAGTTGGTCCTAGAATTTTTCTGATTCTGTTTTTCAGCTGTTCTACATATCTCTTCGTCCATGCAGTGACCCTGATGAGTTTTAGATATGACGAAAATCTGTTGATGTCAGGCAGGCCGATATAAACTTGATTCATGAAGAGCGTCACTTCATTGTTCAATGAACTGTCTATATTTTCTCCAGGAATATGTTCACACGAGAACTTTTTAGTTGGCCATTTCGTTTCATCTTTTTCCAAAAGAAATTCAGGACCATCGAACCATCTTTCAAAATTTGTGGGGTTACTGCCGTCATTATGGTATGTCCTGGTTGCGAGATCAGCAACATTTGATTTTGATGGTACCCAATTCCAATCGCAAACATTAGTCGCCTCTTGTATCTCTTCAACCCGATGCGATTCAAATTGTCCTAAGCGTCTGCCATCATTCTTGATCCAAAATAGAACTGTCGAGGAGTCTGTCCAAAAGTATGTTTTGTCAATTTTGATTCCAAGTGTTTCAATCAGGGTGTTTGCTAATCGGCTACCCATGACCGCAGCTTGTAGTTCCAGTCTCGGTATAGAAATTGGTTTAGTCGGCGCTACTCTTGCTTTAGCCATGACCAGCGCGATTTGAATATTTTCCTGTTTCAGCACTCTCAAGTACGCAACTGAGGCAAATGCTTTTTTACTTCCATCACAGAAAACGTGCAGTTGTATACTGTCGGCAGAAGGAATGATAAGTGAGTAACATCTTGGAATTATCAATTTATCGATTCGCTTCAAGTCAACAAGCCAATATTTCCACATAATGAAGGTTTCAGAGTCCAAACTGTCGTCCCACCCGATACCAGTCCTCCAGATGTCTTGGATTATCATCCTTCCCCTGACAGAGAAATTCACGATCAATCCCAACGGGTCAAAAATTGACATAACTGTCTTGAGTACATATCTTTTGGTGGGTCTATCAGTTTCGTCAGTTAACTTCAACCTTTGGAAGATGAAATTGTCATTTTTGGCATCCCAAAAAAGTCCCAAAACCCTTTGTATATTGTCAACGTCCAAGTTGAGGTCTTTTGAGAATTCTTCGCTTGCAGAGAGGGAATCCAGAACGACTTTAGAATTAGAAGTCCACTTAGTGAGCTCGAAACCTCCCATTTTCTGAACACGGCTTACTTCATGTATTATCTCGAGTGCTTCCTCTTCTGTGTCTGTACAGTCGAGATAATCGTCGACATAATGTTTTCTCACGATTGCTTCAATGATTCTTTCTGACTTTGTACATTCTTGAGCGTTCAAATTTTTAATAAATTGAGCACATGTCGGTGAACAAGTTGCGCCAAAAATCATGACTTGCATTTCGTAGACATCAATTGGCTGATTTGAATCTCCATCTCTCCACAAGAACCGTTGTGAACTTTGATCTTCCTTCCTTATCCTTACTTGATGAAACATCTCCCTAACGTCGCTACTGAAAGCTATCTTCCTTTCTCGAAATTTGAGTAAAATTATCACCAAAGATTGTAATAGGTCTGGGCCAACTAGCAAATTATCATTCAAGCTGGTTCCGTTCGATTTCGAAGCGGCATCGAAAACAAATCTCAGCTTATCTGGCTTAGTTGGGCTGATTACACCAAAATGTGGCAAATACCAACACCTAGGAATATTTGTGTCAATTTCTTTTGGTTCCAGTTTTCGTGCGTATCCCTTCTCGACGTATTTCTTGATGTTTTCACAATACCTTTGTTTGAAATTAGAGTCTTTTTCCATCTGCTTCTCCACGCATAACAATCGACGAAAAGCGGTCGTTTTACTGATGGGTAACTGGATGTGATCATTTTTCCAAAGAAGTCCTATCTCATATCTTCCTTCTATTCGTCTTGCCGTCCGTTGCATAACTTCCATAGCTCTGTTCTCGGCTTTGTTCAACATTGTCTTTGTGGTCGGTGATACTCCAAAAGATTCTGTGGAAAATGAGTTTCTAACGATCTGGTGGAGGTTATCGTCCATTGAACTTTCTTGATCGTGGCAAATATGGAAGGTGAATTGTTCTTTTGGCTGTCTTTGTGTGCTACTGCCATGTAATATCCATCCAAGGTTTGTCTTAGTCGCAATTGGTAGATGCTCAGGTCCTTGAACTACCTGTCTTGCAACGCTCAGACGGATATTATCTTGCCCAATAAGTAACAATGGTCGTCAATCTGATGAGATTATTTTCTGGAATGGCAGTGACAGATTTCTGACAGTACGGACATTTTCCATTTCATATACATTTGCTTTGTCAAAGTCACTTGAAATGTTTACAGTCATACAGAGTGAATTTTCATGCCGATGTACAATGCCGTTGGTCCACTGCATACAGAGCGGCTCCTGTCTCCCGGTCAGAGCCAGATAGTCAGCAACAGACGAGTCTAATAATGTAACGGTCGAAGCTTCATCCAGAAGGGCTACAACTTTGATGAAAGACGAGTCTGGACCATACATTCGTACATTCACCATTCTTAAAAGAACATTCTTGGCACCATTACCTAATGTCAGTACATTCTCGTTTTCTATATCATTTGGAGATGAAGTATTTTCTGAATCTCCGTCAGATTCTGGTTTCGGAGTTTCTTTGTGCAAAAATTTATGATGTGGCAGTTTACATCCATTCACACCGCAAACTTGGCGGTTTCTGCATTTCTTCGTCTGGTGATTCCGGTGAAGACACGAAAAACATAACTTTTTCCTGGTAATTTCGCTCCATCTATCATTGACATCGTCGGATTGCAATTTCTTACAATTTTCTATATTGTGGCCTTCCTTGGAACAGTATATGCACGCAGTTTGCATGGGGATGGTCGACGTCGTGAAGGATCTTTCGAATCTTCTAGGAGGAAAGTTACTACTTCTTGATACTTTAGAGATAGGAGTGCTGACAAAGCATAATGCAGAGGCAATTTCTGAAAGCCAAACCGAGAAATCTTGTAGGTTGACATTTCCTCTCTTCTGCATCACCACTTCTCCCCATCGAAGTTTCAGAGTGTCCGGTAACTTTTGGCAGAGTTCTTTCAGTACTTGAGGATTCTGGAGATGAGCGTGATATTCTAGGGAAGTTATTGTCGACACCAGGCAGGAAACATGATTGGAAAACTGAATTATTCCCTCCAGGTCATGTTCTTTGATGAAAGTCAGTCCTCTTACTCGAGACAATACAACGTCAATGATTTGGTCTGGTCTGCCAAATCTCATTTCGAGTGTCTTGATTACTAAGTCAAGGTTGTTAGGAGACATCATCATGCCAGCCACTGCAAACTTCGCATCTCCCCTCAGGCACTTATGCAATTTAATCATGCATTCTTCTGGAGAAAAATCACAATACGACGAAATTTTCTTGAATTGATATAAGAAAGTCATCCATTCTTCTGGTTTCCCATCGAACATAGGGAAATCTTTTTCGGCTACGTGACGCGAACACATTTTTTCTTGTCTGGGAGAAACTGCTGTTTTCAACACATTTCCAAGGGATTCGCACAGTATTTTGATGTCTGACTTATCTTCTTCAGGTTTTTTCGGAATAGTTCCGATATTTTCAGGTATACTGCCATTGGAATATTGAGGAATAGTTTCTATCCAATCCGCCACGAATGACTTGGCATTATAATGTGTAGACGGACCTTGTTCATTGTCTATCACATCAACTTCTGGATACAAAGGGTCCTTCCGTATCAAGTATTGAATGCTATGTTTAGTTGAACTTGATTTTAGAGATCGCCTTTCCTCATTTTCATTAATTTCAGCTTCTCTTACTTGTCTCTCCATTTCGATTAATTTCAGCTTGTTTTTCATCATTTCCGTTTCAATAGCTTGTTTTGCTTTTTCTGCTTCAAACGCCAACTTTTTCTTCTGTAATTCTGCACTGGCAGAAGAGTATCTTGATTTAGAAGACCTATCTGAATGCTTTGAAGAAAATTCTGCATTATCCTGAACTGGAGTCTGTCGATTTGATGAATGATCTGGTCGGACTGTCATTTCATCAATAACCCCAAGATCATTGACTACAGAATGATGAATTTCTTCACTTTCCTCTGCAACCCTTGGTAGAATATGAGTCCTTCTGCCAAAATTCGAGGGCCATTCAAATTCTTCATCAAGATGTCTATTGGTACCTGCTGTTTTTCGACATAATCTGTCAGATGATTGATTCTCCATAATTTGTGGATTTTCACGTAGTTTCTTCGATATTTCACTCCACAGGACTTGTCTAGAGGCTCGAAGGACCAATGTCAATTCAGTCGGTCAGAAATATAGCTTTTCATGATATTTTAATGGACTGTATGACTTTTCAAAATTATTTAATTATCTGACAAATACATATTCATTCCGTTTCCAAGATAACTACAGAATGTTATAAAAATAAAATCATTATGAACAACAACAGATGGGGTAGAATGTCTAGAATGTATAGAATGAAATAGAATAAATAGAATGAAATAGAATGAAATAGAATAAATAGAATGAATGAAATTAATAAAATGAATGAACTAGATAAAAAGAAACGAATTAAACTAATGATAATAGGAATAAAATCAACAGAATAATGGAATAAATGAAGAAAATAACTGTTGGTTCAATACATACTACATGATTTGAAACTGGCTTGTTGATCAACAAAATATCTAATAAAGGGTGCCGGGCATGACTTATTTCCGTGAATTCAGAGAAAGTAGGTCGGACATAATCATTCATGAGACTCGTACTTGCCAATGACTGAATAACGTCAAGCTGGGCAATTTCTTCGCATAGAATGTAAAATAGATGTATGTGCTTCTTTAGGTGAACTATTATACCATGGATCATCCTGAAAATGATTTTTGCTTGATTTAGTGGACAAATATTCAACGTATTTCAATATTTGAAGACATTTCAATTCAACATACATGACATGTATAACATGAACATCCTGTCACACAACAAATATCAATAATATATTTTTAGGCCGTGAACATGTTGAAAAGGTCTTGAACATACAAGAGATCTGACATCGATTGACCAGCTAATACTCATTGTAGAATTTGTTAGGTAAGATCGAGTATTTTTTTTCAGAATTCTATAATGATAAACGACTTATTGAATATGCACTGTCTGAGTAGGTACCAGCTACAATAATGAACGTGTTTTGTGTAATAGAGCATATGGAATTAATAGTGTATATTCCACTTTTTATGCAGCACAAACACATTTCAGTTATTCTTGTATCTTCGATCTCACAGAAGTGATCTTGATTACACTTTTGTTTCAATTTTTTTTATACCCATTGTTTAGCACTATAATTCCCACATTCCCATGTTGATTAGTTGTCAATCGATACTTTCTGTCAGTGGAAAGCAAAGAAATAGAAACACTGTATCACACACGTGCTTTGAATTTCATTACTTCGTTAGTATCGCAGCGTTTGTCATCTATCTAAAATTGTTCTAAAATTGTTCTATCCGTCATTCGGTTGCCCCCTTACGAGCAATCCTCAGAAGTCTTCGAAAGACTTGTGCGAGCAAGGAATGACGAGGGCCTTACCTTTTAACGTGTGATCCCAAACACTTTCTTAGGCCATCAGAAAAAGTCTGCGTTCGTGGGTCTCGAACCCGCGATCGATACCTCGACGTGAATCGATATTGAAGCATCGAAGCACTGAGGTACGCCGGCCTATATCTATGATCCAACATTTTCACGGCCTTTTACCGTCTTCCTCTCGCGTAGCATCAGAGCGAACTATTTCCGCCTAAAATGTTTTTTTTTCATCATGTGTGCACGAGTTGGAAAAAATATCTTATGAAGACTGTATCTCAGATAGATAGCCGCACAGGTGTCGAAAATAGTATATTATATACCTAGGGTGAGAATTGAGCTATACAATAGCATTATCACCCGAGGTATATGCTATATATAATATTTCCACTTTTAACACTGAAAAATCATCATCTTTTATCACTTCAGATTTCCATATCCATTGAAGGAGCAATGCCATAACTGCGTATATTCAGCATTGTTCAGCATATATTACTAAAACTTTGATATATCAAGTATATAGGAGTTCAGTTGTCAAAGAAACTAAAAGGAAATTCGACTTGGCTGTCAGAAAATGAACGCTGTATTAAAATTCCAGGTGAAATTGTGAATGACTACAAAACCGTGTGAGAATTCAAGTGGCATTCATTTTGATAGGAAGCTTGTACCCTGCATGGAGTTAGGAAGGATACTGATATATATTGCGAGTAGATATTAAAAATACAGTACCTATTCAATAATACGTTTTGAAATCTTTAAACCTTATGAATATCGACCTTATAGTCGACCGTCTAATTCACACATGGCAGTGACAGCTCACGTATGATTTGTGTTGTGACATTTTTATTAGAATTAATAATAATCAGATTGTTTCAAACATTTTTCATACTTCAAAAATTGCTTTCAGCTGTTATGAGATTTGTAGTTTCAACTATATTTAGTTTTAAGAATGAATCGTTTTCGTTCGTTGCATACGCATCGGTATCTGTGTGTATATTGCATAATATAATATACACTATTGACAGTTTTTTTTTTCTACCTAGGTGAAATTTCTTTATCAATTCATCATTATTTATCTAGGTTTAAAAAGTGTTACTTTACATTAGAGGAAATTATCGAATAATGGTGATTTCTCAGGTTAGAGGTGGAAAAAAATATGATGGTCTCCACGAGAAATCTCTGGAAATGATTTTCAAGTATATGTTGGTTTTTAGAGAAAAATACTAACACAATTGAATTCTACGTAGAATAGTACTTTTGGAATGTTTTTATGGAAATAAAGAATTTTTGACAGGAAAAAAGTGACAGAACCTTTTCTAAAATACACATTTTGTGAAACACCCTACATAACTCTGAAATGATGATATTGATCGACATCAGTTTGAAGATAAGGCGTTCCCTCTAAAAGTATGCCAGGTAGCCGTGCGGACAGAGTGTCAATATTCTAATCCGCATTCGCTTGCCGGTCGTGGGTTCGATTCCCAGCGACTGCAGAAATTTGTCTGATGGCCCAAAAAAGTGTTTGGGATCACACGTTGAAAGGTAAGGCCCCCGTAATTCCTTGCTCGCACAAGACTCTCGAATACTTCTGAGAGTTGCTCGTAAGTGGGCAACCGAATGACGGATAGAACAATTTTAGATAGAACAATTTGGGCTACCATGTAACCTGTTCAACTAGTCAAGCCAGCACAACTAAAGGGATTCATAGTAGGGATCATATTTGAATAGCTTACACATTGCTGATTTTAAGAATATCAGTCATAATGTCATCGAGTCTCGTAGACAAATTAACTAATTCCGGAGTCTTCATTGTACGACACCCAGTCGAGCAGTGAACCTGAAAATATTTCGTATTAGCAATCGACAACAAAACTTACAAAATATTAGGCATCTTGATATTTGAAAAGTGACCGGCGCAAAGCTTGCACGATGTGGAACACATAATTTATTCATTATTCCAGATTTTTTGGGATTTTCTCTACTCGTCTCTTTAAAATAAAAACATGAATACTATTTCTATATACGTGTAGTTAGGACAAATTAGATGATTTGCCCCAAAATGTTACTGCGTTTAAAGAATTTTCCTATCAGAGAGCCTAAAAGAAAAATTCACTAGCTTGTCAGTGACAATTTGTATTGAAAAAGGTTTGGGGAAGAGAAATAAAGGTATATAGAAAACATATCAAATTTTTACATATTTTTGGACGTTTCGGGAACGAATCTGCTCCCGTTTTCAACATAAAAAATGGATATTTGTATAGCAATTTTTTATTTGTATTGACACTTTTCAGTACTCAGTGACAATTCAATGAAAATTATTTTCAATTTTCAACTTCAACACCCTATATCTTGCAAACGAAGCCTTCTACGACTTTTATTTATGGAAAATGTTTTATTTTCTTGAGACGCCCCACCACCTCTCAAAGTGCGTCCCACATATTACGAAACACATGTATAGATTTCGAAAATTCAATATCAACATGCATAAATGCTAGATTTATCTGGATCAGTTTCTGGCTTTGTTATGATCCTCCAGAACTTCATCTAAACCCCGGAAAACGGTCATACGACTTATATTATGACGTACCATACTGGAGGGGTTAAGGATATGAACGATGCCATTTTTGATGCTATTTTTTTCATATTCTGTTAAAAAAATAGGGTTTAATCTAATTTGACACCAAAAGTTCATGCAGTGTACCGAATTTTGATATTTAGGAGTGAACGGTTTCAAAAATATTGAAAACCCGTTTTTCCGGATTTTCATTTTGAAGCCCTGAAATCGGGGTTTTCAAGTTCTCATTGGAGCACCCTGTATATACAGCCTGTCTCACTTTGAACGCTTCCCTCTATATCTCAGATATTAATCATACGATTGTTGTCAAATTTGGACTGCTATAAATAAACATCGACATGATCAGTTTTTCCAGAGACAAACATCATTTTTTACAGAGCCGTGAGTTTTTGGAATAAAAAATAAGGAATGCAGGTCCATTATTGGTCAATTCTAACCTTGAACCAATTTTAGGGCTATTCCTTATTCATTTATCAATTCAGAAAAAAATCTAGAGTTATTTATCATTAATAATTCATTGAGTGACCATAAATTTTATTTGACTTACATACCACTACTAAAATTGAATAATAAAAAATATGTGAACAAGTTAATAAATACATATGATATTGAAAAATTAAAATCTGAATTGGAAATACTAAATGATAATATCAATAGTTATAATAATCTTGATGATGCATATGGAAAACTACTGGATACTTTGCATGATTGTACTGTTTCGAAAATGGTTAAATTAAAATGTGATTCAAAGCCATGGTTCAATAGTTCAATATAGTTCAATAGTAAATTGATCAAATTGCGGGACAAATTTCATTATAAAAAAAAATCTATTCTAATATAGAATATTTTGAAGAGCAATATAATTTCTATAAGAAATTAGTGAAAAAAAGAATACGTGAGACATAAAAAGAATTTCATGATGATACTTTTTTAATGGTACTCCAAAATCAGTATGGAATGGTATAAACTCAATCTTATACAACAAAACGAAGAACAAAACAGAAAATATTAAATGTATTACTGTGAATAATGTACAAATCAACGACTTCCAGGAAATGAGTAATAAAATCAATAATCATTTCATCAATGTAGGCCAAAATTTATCGTCAAAAATTACTACAATTTCCGACACTGTGAAAGATTGCTCAAGTGTTCTATCGATGTTCCTAATTCCCACGAATATTTCAGAAATTGAGAATATCATTGATAATCTGGATGTTCGAAAATGCTGTGGATTTGATTATATTACTGTTAAAATTGTAAAAGTAATCAAATTTGAATTAGCTCCTATTTTGTTAAACATAATTTCCAAATCGCTCAAAACTGGTATTATTCCTGACAAAATGAAAATTGCTAAAGTATTACCAATTCACAAAAATGGGAAGAAAGATGATTTGAACAATTATAGACCAATTTCTGTTCTCCCGATCTTTTCCAAAATTTTAGAAAAAATTATGAATAACCGTCTAATAAATTATCTTGAAAATAATGGCCTATTGTTTAGTGAACAATATGGATTTCGTAGGTCAAAAGACACAGAGGTAGCTGTGATGCATGTCATTTCAGATATTCAGTTACGAATAGATGACAATGACAAATGCGGCATTCTGTCTCTGGATCTCTGTAAGGCCTTTGACACTGTAAATCATAATATTTGAAGAATAGGAAACAGTATGTTGATGGGAATAATACTTGTAGTTCCTTGATGAATATTACATGTGGTGTACCGCAAGGATCAGTTTTGGGGCCAATTTTATTTTTAATCTATATCAACTCAATATCTACTTTAAAATTGAAAGGAAAACTAAAATTATTTGCAGATGATACAACAATAATTTATACTTCAAAAGATTTCAACGATATCAATAATGATATTAAAAATGATTTGAAACAAATATCATCTTGGCTATAATGACCAATAAGTTGACTCTTAATTATAATAAATCTACGTATATGTACATCTCAAAAAGAACATCGGATATATTATATAATACCCCATATGTTTCAATAACAAATCCATTGAATATAAAAATGTATCAAAATTTTTAGGTCTATATATAGATGGACAACTATCGTGGACTCTACATATAGATCAATTGAGAAAAAAATTGAATCCTATTGCTGGTATTATATATAAAATTCGAAATTTCATTCCTGTTGAATACCTAAAGAGTATTTATTTCTGTCTTTTTTATTCAAATATACAATATCTAATATCTATTTGGGGAAGTACAAATATTTCACGTTTGAAGCCACTCATGAAATTACAAAATAAAACAATGAAGTGCATTTTCAATTTACCTTTTTTAGAATCAACTGCGAATCTATACAAACCTAAAGACTTGCTGAATCTAGTTTCATTATATAAACTCAAAATTTGTTGTTTTATTCATTTTGTCAGGAAGGAATTGAAAATATCGAATTTGAATTTTAATGAAGTTAATACGATTCACGCCCATGAAACAAGGCAATTCAATTTATTGATAGCAAATAATTATAAGTCAAATTTTGGTAAACAATCAATATTCCATAATGGAATAATTTTGTATAACTCCTTACCTAATGAGTTGGAAAATATAGAAGAAGCAGAAAAATTTAAAATAAAATTAAAGAAATATCTGCTCAGTAAACTTTAATAGTACTAATCATTCACAATTTGATTACTTGTAATGGATTATGATATTTTCAATTTAAATTTTATTATAATTCTTTTTTTTTTTAGGAAAAACAATAATTTGTGCAATTATTATTGTTTCGATTTATTATGTTTTATATGTATGTTTTGTTGTATATATCCCTATTATAAACAATAATGTTTCTTGGGGTGATAAAGACAATCAATCAATCAATATTCCTTATTCTTTTGCATTGTGTTTGGACCTCAACTTTTGTTTTTCAGGAATACGTGTGAACAGATTCCTACGCATAAATGCAGGGATATAGAAGGAGGGTATTCGAACCCACCTGCTGTTGCGTGTATTGGGCATCATTTTAATTTTTTTCTGTTTTTATATATTTCTCCCTCTCCGATCTGGGGTTCTCGATTATTGACAATTTTGGAGAAACGACAACAGGGGAGGAGGACCCTTTACTAGCCGGACCTGCTCGATCCGACCCAGCTGGACCAAGGTTACCTCCTTCCTGTGTTGTTTATTTTTGCTGATCAGATATGTTGTCAATTTTCTGTCTCTTTGATGATTTTTCAGAGTGACTTAATACTTTATCCAGGGTGTCTAAGTTAATTTGATTAATAATGATAATGAGTCAGACATATTAGTCCAACAATCGCACGACTAATAGCAGAGATATAGAGGGAGAGTCGTTTTGAAGTCAGACATGCTGTATTTACAAAGTGATTCAAGTTTTAAGGTACAAACTGAAATGGGTGATAGATAAGTTATCAATTTGAAATTTGATGTAGTTAATCAAGAAAATCTTAATTTTAGCATTTTAATTATGGTTTTTTAAATCTACAGGGTGGTACGTTTTTGGGGGTTGAGGCTTCTTTATCCCCTCAAACGTTTTTGTAGCACGCCTCTGATATTTCCTAGTTTTCGAATAGGATGGATCGCTCAATTTGGAGGCTTTTTTGCCTTCAACTTTTTTCCGAGAAATAAACCGTTTTCGAGATAAATAAGCATATTCGTTCTGAAACATGTGAATTTCATCTTTTTTTTTCTATTGGATTTTATTCTTGAATAAAATTCGTTAACCATATTGACAATGACGAATTGTACAAAACATATGTATTGTGGACTGTTAAGGCCACATTCACCAGATGTATGGTGGTAATTTACCATAATTTACAGGTGGCTTAACTATTTATTACCTATAATGTTCTTTGTGAACCGTACATTTTTCCGACTGGTTGAATGCTATATTATTCTTCAATTTCTTTAACGATATCGGAAAATATATCACACAACTGGATGGGGCTTGACCAGTGATTCAAAATGAATTTCCCGCGTCGTTGTATTGGTCGGTTAAAAGCAACCTGGCCTTCTACCCACTGTATCCCCGCTACTGACCCAGATTGGACACATACTTAAAAACATCGCAATTTCAGCAATTTCAGCAATTTCAGTACATTTCATTGCATTCTTAATGAATTTTGTCAAAGAATAAAATTCAAGCGAAACAGTCAAAATCGGGCAAAATTAACAAGTTATACCTAGAACGGATAATATGCTTATTTATCTAGAAAACAGTTCTTTTCTTGAAAATAGTCGGGAAGCAAAAAAGCCTTAAAATTGAACGATCCACCCTTTTTGGTAACTGAAAGATGTCAAAGGCGTACTATGAAAAAGTTTGGGGGGATAAAGAAGCCTCTACCCCAAAAATGTATCACCCTGTAGATTTGAAAATCTTAAAAACGCTTCAAATGATGATATTTCATAAAGTATTTACCACACCCAATATTTAATTGATATCTCTAGAAGTGAGCGCGATGTTTCAATAGATAAAAAAAAATCAATTGAAAAAAATATATCAAATTTTGACCCCTTCATATAATCTTTTTTGATTAAAATGATGAGATCTATCACCCATTTCATTTTGTTCCTTAAAACCTAAATCACCCTGTATATATATAGAGGGTGTCCCTAAAAGGGGCTCATCTCAGTACAAAGTTGCTCAGTTTGGGCGCTAAACGGCTCTGAAGTTGCAATTTTCAAATTGTTTTTCCTTCATAACTTTGAAACAGCTCATGATATTTTACTCAAATTTGGTACGTTGGCATAGCTTCATTGGGCAATTAATTCCATATCATGATTTATGATGAATATCATTCCATGGGCGTAGAACTTGATTTTGTCAGTAAATAAACTTCTACGCCAATGGAAAGAAGAGTTGAAATATGAAATTTGGATTGCGTGACTTGTTTACTACAAAAAAGTACTCTTGATGAAATTCGATAGTATTCTCATGGTTTCGACAGAATTTAAATTTCAGTTATTCGAAGCATCAGTCAACACCAAAACTATCAACAGATGTCCTTTCGTGCGCTCCAAGAGAAAAAAAAATGCAAACGAAATACGTACGTAAACTGTCATCTACCCTAATCAGCTACTTATTTTTTGTTGTTTTTTCACTGAGTAAGCCAGAGCCATCTATAGCGCCCAGTTTGAGAAACTTTGTACTGAGGTGAGTGTGCTTGTATCATTTTTTTTCGTCGTTTGAATCTTTGTATATACGTGAAAACTATTAATATTCTGAAATTTTTTTTATGAAATATCTGATAATCGTTTTGGTGCTGACTGATGTTTTGAATTACCAAAATTTAACGAAAGGAAGGCATGCTCGAAGTCATCTCCACAAATTTTAATGTTACATATAGTCATAAGGGACATGTTTCGATCTTCTTCAGCCTGAAGACCTTTAAGGGACACCCTGTATATTTCTCTATTTGGGTTATTTTCCCCAAATGGCGTCATTTTCTTGATTTAAACGCCATTTTGACAATATGATGTAATTATGTGTCCATGTTAGAAATTTTATGCGTATCACTAGCTGTGTATTCAAAAAAGCTTACTTCAATGAATTCATCTGGTAAATCGGATTTCTTGAAGGTTTTTTTCTGGGTTTTGCTAAGACTCAATACGATATGATAGCCTTTCGTTTGATTGTTCCCTAGGGTTAGTGATAGATCATATTTTTCTGCCAAAGACTTCACATATTCTATAAAATAAATGAAAACATTGTCATTTCTGTTCAAATAACCAAATTGCAGACTAGCAGAAATCTCTACAAGCATCCATAAAAAATATCAAGATTATAAGAAGCAAAGGGTCTCTTCTCGTGTCAACCTGTCAGCATCTGATCCTTACCTAGAGTCACTAGATTATAAGAAGCAAAGGGTCTCTTCTCGTGTCAACCTGTCAGCATCTGATCCTTACCTAGAGTCACTGGATGGTATTAGTTAGATATAAGAGTTCGGACACAGCTCAACTTCTGTCCTTTTCTATTTTCTATATTACAATGTTTTGAGTGAATAAAATAATAAGACATATATTCTGCTCTTTGTCTTTTCAAATTCCCTAGTAGCGCCTGATTGTCAGATACGATTTCAATGGTTTGATTTTCTGTCAAATCAATCATAGCTGTAGATTGAAAATTGAAATAGGATTTAAACGCCCAATTCAATTTATAGCCATACACTTTTCACAGAACATAAGATGTCCATTGGACATCCGTTTTGTGTCCATTATATGTCCAAGGTGTCCATGGACACATTCTGGACATCCATAGGATGTCCACAGGCAGCAATTCTATGGATGTCCAGGAAAAGTAATCCATATAGTGTCCATTTCATGTCCTTTCTGATAATGTTCCTTAAGACAACGTCCAACTCATGTCCATAAGATAATGTCCAATGGACATCAATTTGCAGTAGTCCATACACAGTCCATATGATGTACATTGTTGCTTTTTCGTCTCGGGTATCATCGAGATCGTTCGGCTCCTTCGCTGGCGACAGCTGTGCACAGGGTTAGCCGGAGCCGTGTGATGTGTGATGCCGTCCGCCATTTTTGTTTTGTTATTGAACATCGGTGCACGGATAGAACGCCTGAGACTGATGATTTTATTCTCAAATCTAGCGTTTTGGTAATATCCATATACAATCCATTTGAATTTTGTGTACTATTCATAATGACATTATTGTTATAATCTGTTTCATAATATGTGTGTGTGAACGACGAGTGTTTTGTGATGCTATTTAATTCGATCGAAGAACACATGAGTCACTTATTCATTCAAGTGCATGAAGGCCATTATTCCATTGCGGACCTGTTGATGAAGATGTCTCAAGGATTTCGACATTAGAACTGGTCTGAAATTGAGTGCCTATCTATACATAATATTTAGTGCAAACTGCAAATTAATATGAACTTGAGAAATTGGTTCAAATCGATTGTATCAACTGCATCAAACTGGAATGATGAAAGGAGTTACCATAAAAGCAATAACATATTACATTAATATTATATTTTATATTATGGAGATTATTTGTAGTGTTCTTGAATATACCTACTCACATTTTCAAGTAATAACCAGGAACATAGATTATATTTATTGACCAGATCGTCCTATATAAATGTACATTTTATATACTAGATATCCAATGGATGTACAGTGATGTCCTATGGATGTACGGTATGGACATCCATTAGATGTCTAAAAAGGTGGAAAGTGAATGTCCCATGGATGTCCATATGCAGTCCCGTGTACGCATTCTAGTTGTCCATAGGATATCCAGATTGTCCAGACGAGTCTGTCCAATGGATGTCCATTGGACTAACTTGTGTTATTAGGGTAAGAGTGTAAAAGGACAATAAACAGTACACATTGAAAATTGAAGTGAAAAATTGTCATAGCAGATCAATAATATATATACTATTTGAAGTAGTACATGTTGAGGTCATAACAGAGTTTCATTGTAGAATTCCTCAATATTATATAGTCAAATAACAAAGAAAATTTTGTCAACCTAGATTTTGAAATGGGTAGAGCAATTTTCTTCTCTGTTATATGTCGGGTCACATGATTTGTTTGTACTGTAGTCTCAGCCATATACTTTTTGTGAATCAGACATACCGTTTCCAATATGAATAAACTTGTCAGAGTGAGAATCCTTAAGTTTGAAAACAGTGGTCTGCATGACTCTCGAATACCTACCTTGCCTAAGTAAGACCTATCTTATAGCACGTTTCTGCAGTACAAACACTGAGTGAAAAAGTTGTTGGCTACAATATCCCCAGAAAGCTATTCCACATCTCAAATGAGATTCAATCAGAGAGTGACATACCATCTTTGCTGTAGATGAACTCAATTCATTAGTGACAATTCTGAGAGCATAACATCCGGATGCTGATCAAATTTCAATTTCTCGTCTAAAGTTATTCCTAGGAATTTTGTATACTTTTTGCTATCTAGAATTTTTCCGTTCCATCTTGAATTGTTGCAGTCAAAACTAAAGCCCATTATATTTGTTTTTTGTGATTAAAACACAGATAATTAGCTTCGCACCATTGCTGAACCGTTTCCAAATCTCTAGCAATATTATTTCTTATGTTGTCACAATTTGTTCCGTGCCATAGTAGGATAGTATCATCAGCAAACATGGTGAATCTTCCCTGAATGGGAACAGTGGCCAGGTCATTTGAATATAAAAGGAAGAGAATTGGACCTAGGACAGATCCCTGTGGGACTCCCCGTGTCATATCCCTGACTTATGGCTAGTTCCTCATTGTATGTGAAACTGTCTTGATTTCCCACTTTTTCCTGCGCTCACTTTTCACTGATAAATTTTGAATTTGGTCGGTATTGAAAACGTCATTCAATATGATATATCACGTTGCATGCAATTCACTTGATTTCCTCAGTTTCGTTCTCAAATGTTCGATTTCATTACATATGGTTTTGTAATCAATTCCTCTTTCTCCATGATTTCAAAATCTTCTCTTCTCTTTGAACGTGAGCCAAAAATATAGTTTCATTCTAATCTGCTGTTATAATTAGTGAATTTCAATGTATTCACCTCACCAATTTTGCTTGTCTTCAAATTCATTTTCCATCCAGGCCGTTTCATACATTATCTTTCCGTAAGAAAACGGTTAATATTTCCTTTGGAAAATTAAATAATTTCCATTCTCTTCAGAATTCCCACAATTCATCACACAGCATTTTCATTCATGCTTTTTTCTCAATAGTTCATGAAATTATATTTCAATTCTGACGTTCATACGACTATTGTTCTCTTGTCACAATGGAAGGTGTGTAACTTAATAAATCTAAACAATCAAAAACCCTAACAGTTGTCATTTCTGTGTCCGAACTCTTATCTAACAATTCAGTGACTCCAAAAAAACTGACTAATTTTCAAAATTGTTACATCAAAAAATAATATAAGTATAGGCTCGCACCGCACGGTGACGGTGGGTTTGAAGTTTCTTTTGAAGATATGCACCCGGCGGCTGTAGCGAGTTAGCCAGTCCAGAGATTCAAGTTGATAATTAATTATAGAGAGACATTTTGATGATAAGCAATTAATCTCACCTTTCAGATCATTCAGTCTTTCTGTATAAGTTTTTCTAACTAAATCCAGTAGTCCGTTAATGCCTGGTTTGATAACAAAACATCTTTGCAACATCGCCCCATTACCTCTAGCAGGCTGGGCATCTTCTTGTATGGTCTGCCTTAGCATATTTTTAATATCAGAAAAACTTTGGTTCGCCAATGTTTTCGATATCTGAAGGAAAAACGGTTGGGTGAACGACTCAAGGTTCTCCTTTAGGGGGGTAATAATGTCCAGAATAGAGTTCAGCCGAAGTATGTAATTCAAATGACTTATTGAACTTTTCAAAGGGTCGTTTGATATCATTGTTCCTAAGCTCAAGAGTGAGTCGATATTTGACATTTTAATCAATAGAACCTGAAAATAAAAATCATTATAATAATGGTACTGGTAGGAGTGGGGGACGTGTGCACGTCAGCAACCTGGGCACAATAGGTCGCGAGCACATTTGACAGATGACCGACCCTGGAGGTGAAATATTGAAACAAAAAAACATCACTTTTCTTATTTGTTCACACGGGATTGAAGTAGTTTTTCACAATTATTTTGGCATAATAATCGTGGTTTTTGGGCTATTGCCATCATGTTGTGCTGTTGAAAAATACACAAAAAATACAGAGACGAAATTGTGATTTCAAAGTACTGTACTCACTCTTGTCACTCACATATTTTTCATTTAAAGTTTTGTCATTTCTCTTTGGAATGCCTTATGCAATAGAAGCTAATAGAGGTGAAAATGTAACACACTCATACACGACCATATTTCGTCAGCTTGTCAGAGCAGTTCTCCCGTTTGACTACACAAATTCCACCTTCTTGCCTCATTTTAGAAACTTCACAAATCTTTCCATTAGCTCCTGTTGCAGAAGGAATTCTAAAGAGATATGACAGAATTTCAAAATGAAAACTATGTGAGTGACTATAGGAGCAATTATTTACCTACCTGAAAAATCTTATTCCTGCGCCTCTCGCTGCATTTTTTGTGCATTGTTCAACAGCACAATGTGATGGAATGCTTGAATAAATAAATATCACAAGAAACACAATTCATATGCCAAAATGAATAAAAAATTGTGAAAAAATACTTCAATCCCAGTTTGTTCTACGTCCAAGGCCGGACGTCATCATCATCTGTCAAATGTGCACGCGACCTATGGCCCCTGTGTCCAATGTGTAGTGGGCATTGACGTATTTTTGAATCCGTTTGAAGAACGAAAGAACTCAACTGCAGATAAATCAAAACCAGTTTTGCCAGAATTCCAAAAAGGTGGTATGCTTTCTTCTTCAGAATTCGATTGCTTAATTTGGCGGTTTATCGATTTTTTTGAAAATATCTAGTACCTAATGTGCAACTTATTTCAAGAAAAGATATGTAACCCCTGTATCAGCGCCTATATGATTCCTGAACGCGGGTTTACGTAGAAAGGAAGAGCATCGATAATATGGGAACACTTTTGTATTTCCCTAGATATGGAATAATAAAGCTGTTTATGCACGACCGAGCGTGAAGTAGCACTATACCGCCTGCATATTTACGTTTCCTATACAGCCAGCCACTCCGTTTCCTAGCTGATATGCGCGACCAACGATAAACGACCATCGGCTGCTCTGTGGTGCATGGGTCAGGATTATTTACAGATTTTGTTTTCCACACTAATTTTCAGTCTGAAGAAGATACAATTTGACAATGAATCGGAAGTTTATTCATGCGGAATATTCAACTATACAAAAAATATAAACAAAATATATCGTCGAACCATTAGAAATGCTTTTCAGTTTCAGATTACTTTGTTTTTCTTACTGGTTATCAAGATCATGAAAGTAATCGAAAATAATTAATAGTGTGCACTACCATGACTTACAGCGTTCGTGGTATTTTGTAGGATGTTTACTATTAATGAACGCTTTTTGCGAGGTCTCTTTTTCGAACTTATTCCGCTGATAGATGGCCGACCCGCTTGTATAGCTTTGGCACCTCTGTAAGCATATGTTCTTCTAGCAATAGAGGTATGTTGAACATTAATGCTGTGAGACTTTTTCTGACCAGTTAACGAGGAACATAGAACATAGAACGAAGCTTCGCTGTCCATTTTCTTCATCTGCCTATTGAACTTCGTCACAATAGGCAAAAGTGCTGGATGAGATTCCACGAAGCTGCTAATCTTTTTGAAGTTTTCTTTGAGTTCGACTGATCCATCAGTTTTAGGTTCGTTCACTTCAACCGAAAAATTATTTTCTTCATCAGGAGTCGTCTCATTAAGGCCATCTTCCGTTTCCAACATCATGGGTTCGCCAAAATCTACAGTAATTTCGTTCTTTTTCTTTATCCATATCTTTGAAGAAGTTGGCACTACTGATAGTATTTCCAGTTGCTAACGTAGCAAGTTCTATTTAATATTAGGAACGTTGTGCATCGGCACACCAGTACTATATGCAGCGCACAGATGCTTGCAAAATTTCCCTCCTGCCCCTTCTGGACAGTCACACACTTCCAACTTTGTATGGTACAAAAGTGTCTCATCTGCAGCTGAAGTAACTGTAAACTGATCTTCAGACACTTTCACACCACGAAGATCAACCGATTTTCTGCAAAATTTCGTAAAATAAATTAACAATTTGTTATCCCTGGAGCTAGCATAACACAACAATTTTTCTTTGTAGAAGTCCTCCAGTGATAATGAGATGAATTCTACTAAGGATACTGTGTTGAAAGCCTTACATCTTCGTAGTACCAAATCCTTAAAAACTCTTATTGATACTTCTACTAAATTGTTCGTATTATGGCCCCTATTGCACAGTTTATTTCGAAAACAATGACACCAACCCTGTCTTCGCTAGGGAATGAATATTCAATAGGTTATAAAGGGAGCACAGTTTTTCGGCAACTAATTGCTCTTGGCATTCTAATGATGACAATAAACAATAACACTCGGAAATGCCGATGGTCGTTGGTCGCGCATATCAGCTAGGAAACGGAGTGCTCCAGGATGCACTCCATTCCCTATCTCGCGCTGGCTGTATAGGAAACGTAAATATGCATACCGCCCGCGGTCTATATTTCCGCCAGGTAACTCGTAATATGCACTCCTGTACAATTCTGGACATTAATCTTTCAGTTGTGGTGGTTCCTGATCTAATATTACAATTCTCTTATTTCTGAGATGCAAAATGATATGACCGAACCCAAATAAGTTATCTGTGATGACATTGCTTGAAGCCTATGGATATAATCTTGGTCCCTGGGTAATAATGATATTCTTTACTACCTTGGTGTATAAATATCTATTATATACCGGGTGTCCCATTTTAATCCATATTTGGAAATTTCTCGAAATGTATACATCTGACAAAAAAAATTGCCGAATAAAAGTTGTATGGTTCGGAGGGGGACGTCTGGTAATAAAACAAGTTTCACCCCCTGACCCCCAGGGGAGTGGGAAATGGAGGTAACATTGAAATCTTTAATGGAAACTCTAATTTTCATTGCAGATTCTGGAAGAGCTTTAAAAACTATGAAGCTTTTATCCGGGAACTTCTTTTTTATTTTAACAAGATGGCGCTGCAATCTTAAAAAACAATATTTTACTATTTAGTTTGTAGTTGGGAGACATTTTATCATTAAAAAGATATCAAGCAGTTCGAATTAACACATTTCAACACCCTGAAGACGAGGAAGAGTGTAGGGTGTGAAATTCCCAGACAAACGCCGTTGGAGTGATATTTTTATTGCAAATTCACACGGTAAGTGATAATTTTCATTGTATGGTAACAACATGTAAAAACAATTTAAATCTGTCACTGTCTCGCGATGTCGGATTATTTACCGAACGAGATTGTAAATATGATTATGTGTGTCGAACGTGCGGAGGGTAATTACCAAGAGGCTGAGCGCGAATATCGACGTCGATTTCCGGATCGGAGATGTCCGTCCCAAGTTACCATCAAGTCTCTTGTACAACGTGCCCGCGAAGGTCAGCTCACCCGGAAAAGAAAAAAGTCGGTTTTTGACGACGTCGTCGATCCGGATGCGAGGCTGCTCACGGTGTTTTTTACGATCGCAGCGCCATCTTGTGGAAATAAAGAAGAAGTTCCCGAATAAAAGCTTCATAGTTTTCAATGCTCTTCCAGAATCTGCAATAAAAAATAGGGGTTTCCATTAAAGATTTCGATGTTACCTCCATTTCCCACTCCCCTGGGGGTCAGGGGGTGAAACTTGTTTTATAACCAGACGTCCCCCCTCCAAACCATACAACTTTTATTCGCCAATTTTTTTTGTCAGATGCATACATTTCGAGCAATTTCCAAATAAAGATTAAAATGGGACACCCGGTATATCCATTCTTCATGCTCATAATTTATCTGCGAATATTTCTTTTCAATAAGACTTGTATTTCAACTACTTCAATGTTCTGCGTGGCATTTGCCAGAAAAGTAGTTGTTTTTCTCCCGTAATCTACCATTGCTGGTCATTTTATAAACATTGTGTGGAAATGACTATGAGCTTTTTGTATTTATTTAGACTTATATTTGTCAACAGGGTTTTCGTTGAATTTCATGTAATAAGAATGTATTACCAAATCAATGAATCGATCAATTGGTTGATTGATTGTATGATTGTTCTATATAGATACCTGTATACAAGTAAGCATATCTTTATTTTCGATCAATTCGTCCACACATCTCAGGCGGTTTTCTATGTATTCAGCTTTGAACGGTGGTTGCAGAATGATCGATCGGAGCATTCTTGCGCCTATTTTCGTTTGACAATGATTGAGGACACCGAATAGGCTCGCATATTTATTACCTTGCGCTGGTCTTGTACTGCTGACAAGTTCAAGGTAGTCTGCAGTAGAAACATCTGAAAATAATATGAATACAATGAAAAACAATAATTTGAAAAAAAATCTTCAAATTGGAGCATTGCAGATACTTGGTAACTTGGAATGAAACAAACCATAATCAACCAACCATCTATGAGCCATACTTATACAGACTGTCTCATTAAAAAAACGCTGGTGAAGTCCAATGCCTACCGTCATTTTTATTCGATGTCAAGAAATAAATGAATTAAAGAAATAGTACAAACTGTTTCAAAGTCAGCCAAGCATAAAAAAATCTTTTTTCCAATACTAACCTGAGAAATCACTATTATTCAAGAATTTCCTTTGCTAAGAAGTAACGCTTCTTTAATCTAGGTAAGTATTGACAAAGACATTTCAACTAGGTAAATAATGAAACACTGGCAATAGTGACAATGACATGCAGTACACATGTAGGTATCGATGCCTATGCAACCAATGAAAAATGAAACATTCATTATTAACCCAAATGTAAACCACTTTGATTAAGACTGCGAAATTCACTACAGCTAAAACCAATTTTTGAAGCTGTCACTTCCGTGTGCTAATTAGAGATGAGCATCGACTGAGCGAATATATTAAAAAATTGAAACAATTTATCACGTATGTACATCCGTTCAACGGTATCATCTGCAATGTTCATCAAGTTTATTTATTTCAAATCAATGAACAATGTATTTTTAATATCTGCGACATTTATCAGTATCCTTCCTAACTTCAGGCGGCGGGTACAAGCTTCCATATCAAAATCACTATAGCTTAAATTTAAAAAAATATAATGTATACCTCGGCTGACGAGTGATATGTGACTGTTATCTCAAGAATGCAAGGAATATGACTAGTACAGTGATATCACTGGTGTGATGAAGCGATGAGGTGTCAGATACGTAACACACAGAGACGCGATTTGGATTGTCAAAGCGCTCTCGGTCGGGATCACTTATTGTTTGTTACTATATAATTAATATTTTGTTGAATATAGTTTCGGGATTAATAAGTTATTTTATTTTGGTTCTGTGGTGGCCGTGTAGTTTACAGATAATGCTATCTATCATATATAGCTCGCAGAATATGATTGCTAAATTATAGCTCACTTCTCTCCCTAGGTCTATATTATACTATTATTCAAAAGGAATGATACTTACCTATATTTCTTACTTTCTTGAATATCGGTTATTTGATCAGGTTGCTATTTATATAACTTTTTTTTGATAAAATGTGCATGAAATTCCATCAAATAATACATGAATCATCATACCAATACCAACCTATAACAGCATATCCTTCAGATTCCTGATAATCAACTTTTATAGTTCCAGGTGCATAATAGATGAAAACATGGTCTTGTATATAGGTTATCAAAGCGGAAGCTGCAGCTAAAGCATAATACCTATAATATAAAAAAAAACAGGACAATGCAATTTATAGATCCTCAAACAATCTACGAGTCGTGGAGATGAATAAATAGTTATTGCATAGATTGTTATATTCTACCCACCATGCACACACTATAGTAGGTAGAACACATAGGAAATAGTTGTCGAACAAATAAACGGTTGTACCTCCGACGAACAACATGGAGATGGACATTGAGGCGAATCAAGCAGACACTAGGAAGGACACGGAGAAAATGATAATATGTAACAGGAATTTTTCAAATATGATTTATTTGGACCAGGAAAATTTTAGTGACTGTCGGAGTTTTAGTTATCTATATGTATAACTTGTGTCATGGAATTTGTTGAAACTGGTGAAAAATTCAATTATTCAGTAAATGTATATACGGTATATTCAACAGAGAAGAGAATAGTGGACGAAACCCTCATTAAAAGATAACCGTAGACACGTGTTTCGGGCTTTCGGCCCTCATCAGTACGGTGAAAAAGTGTGAAAGATAGGCAACACTTGTTGGAATATGAAACAACAAAATAACGGAGTCAACAAACAGAAGCCAGCCGCACAATTGTGGTTTCAGTCAGAAGACCCCGAGTATTCAGGGAAACAACTAACGTCACCACGGAGGCAGCTCCTGTTTGTTGACTCCGTTATTTTGTTGTTTCATATTCCACCAAGTGTTGCCTATCTTTCACACTTTTTCACCGTACTGATGAGGGCCGAAAGCCCGAAACACGTGTCTACGGTTATCTTTTAATGAGGGTTTCGTCCACTATTCTCTTCTCTGTTGTTTACAACATTTCCCCTCAATATCCCTTTCATCATACGGTATATTCATATACTCGATGGTGAATCAATTCTAGGTAGGAATACTATAATAAAATATGCTATAGACTATCCCCAACTCCAGTATTCAAATGACACCCATTCACAGTTCCCAAAACACTAAGTGCATCACTCAGAATTTGACTCTTTTTCATCCACCAGTATGACAATACTGAAGGAAACGATTTACTTAGTTTTTGGTATATGTGGTATGTGATACTTTATGGTTCATTGATAAGAACTGTTGTTATGTTATTTAAAGGTCAACACCTGACGAAGGAATAAAACCCTATAGTAGAATACAATAATGGCTGGAAGGAAAATGCAAAAAATACTCATTTTTGGAAAAAATGCACTAACGCTGATTGAAATAATGACCCATTCAATATGTACAAGGTACAGAAACGGCCTTCTCGGTGTTCATTATCCAATATTCATATCAAACTCCTATCTCGAGACATTTCTGAAAATTCATCTCTAATTGCTATACAGGATGAGATTTTTCATTTCAAACCTGTTTCATGATATCGATGACTCTTTTCAACCGATTTTCATAATCTAGTACTCAGCATGATGCTCATATTCTCCTAGTTCATTATACATGGTGGTCACTAATATGATCACAATGTAAAAAAATGTTGGAATATAAGTGCTAATCGCAATAAGTTTCATATTTTATTGAATCATGCGGAAAAGTATCTTTTCAGCACTGTAGTGCGGTGAAGTAACTTTTCCGCAAGATTTTATCGGAGAAACAGAAATGAAAGTGGATAAAAAAATCGAATAAATTACGTTACCATAGCAAAGCTACATCGTTATCAAATGTTGCGTAATTACTTATTAGTACTATTCATAAATTCTCACCTGTGCTGTAGAACCAACAGAATACCATTCAAAGAAGGAATACATAGATTGTTGAGCATTTCAAAACCGTTTAATTTATTGTATGTACTCCTCGGGACTCCAACATATTTCAAATTGGGAAACCTTTCTTTCACCTTATTAATCAGACGATTACCAGAAAAATGTTCAACGAAAGTGTTTGGCACCAAGATCTTCAAATAAAGATAATAAAACTCCATACCTACCAATAAACGCATTTATAAACTTACCTCACTCGGATTCAAAATGTTAATTTTTGTCAAAGTATTGATATAGTTCTGAGAATCAGATATCTGACAAAGTATCAAGAATGGCATCGAAACACTGATTGCTGCAATTCCAATTTCACATCTAGCCTCTCCTCTTCCCTCAGTCAGTGCTGAAATATGGATTCAAAATTAAAAACATTATTCCTAATAGATACATCTTACGTCCTCAATCAATGGAAACTAAAAAGAAAATTCTATTGAGGAAGTGTCCATCTAGGGTGATGCAATATTCGCTACACAGGTAATATCTCTCCGAGATTCAACGAAGAGGTACGAACATAAGATCACTCGGCTACTTTAGGTAAGATAGTTGATTTTGATGAGTTATCTATAGTTTTTTTTCCATGTTCGTTGAGACAGATGGGTTATCTCTAAAACACTCTGTATTTGCAAACTTATGTAACGTATATTACCTATGTAACGTATGCTTTTTCGCAGCCATATTTTTGGTGTTACTTGTATCGCGATAAACTACTTACACACACATACAATCGTGGCGTGCACATCCGCATTTTTCAAACCTGCACTTCTTTGTAATCACAATTTTTATGAGATGAATTGTTTTCAAGAATATTGAGATGCTTTGACTTTGCAAAAATACCCAGTCCGTAAGACTTTATGAAAAAACACACGAGTAGAGAGCTTCCCAGAGCGGCTAGGGAAAAATTTGATAAACTTTTCATCGCGTATTTTCATAAGATAAATCGATTCTTGAGGAAATTAGGATGATTTTTTTCTGCTAAATCTGAAGCCTGAATGTCAACATAATGCTAATCACAGGTATGGCACCTTTTTAACTGTAAATATTAATACAACTGTTGATTTTTTTCGATGAAAACGAATTTTTGTTTGTAAATATCACAAACCCCTTCTTGCACGCCTCTGAATTTGTTAACATCATGCTAATTACTGGTATGGCACTCTTTCAACTATAACCATAGATTAAACAAACTTAGTCTATGCTGTACGATCAATATAACTATTGAATTAAAAAGAAAACGAATTTTCATTGCTAAATATCATAAACCCCTTTTTGCGTGCCACTGGTGTTGATTATCTTCAGTAGAAATATCCCTTTATCAAAAAAAAACTCGAAGACGTCTCGAGGTATCGGCCCAACCATTCAGCAAAGATCTAAAGAAAAATTCTAGGGTCCCTAACATTTTCCAAATTATTGGTCAAAAATATGAAATATCTCCAGCTCTAAATTGACACCTTGTATACAAAGAGAACGAATTGCAAAAAAAAACCGACGCCAATGACGCATAGACCGAAGATGACGCTTTCCATCTTTGGTTGAAATTCCAACATCGGCGTAGAAATGTCCAATTTATATCTAGTCAAAATTAGTCAATTTTTGGCAGTCCCACTTCATCTGACAAGTAGTTTAGAATATTGGTGGACGATGCTATAGATGAGGTATAAGTTTAGGTATTGATACGTACCAACTATTATTCTGGAACCAAAATCTTCATTTTTGTATTTGTGGCTCCCTGCAGACTTTTTGCTAGATGAAGAATTTGTAATGCTGAAACGAATAGAGAATATGTAGAGTATGAATCATGAGATAAAACTACAAATCTACCGAACCTTATATGATTCTTTCCCCAGTTGATGTCAGAAGCTGCTGATGTTGGTGAGAATTTTTTTGATACGATTTCCGAGATTTTTTTTCGATCTGCGAAAACAAAAAGTGAAACAATGAGATTCGTTTTTTGAATATTCAAACTATTGGTTTGATGTGTCGGTATTATAATAATGTTCAAAGTATAATCACAGTTTCCTATCGTCCAAATAACCACTTGGTTGGGAATGAAATTTTTGAAAAAGAGAAAACGAAAAAATATTGTTGATATATTCAACATAAAACAACTGCTTTCCTGGCTTATGATACAGAATATCATTCAATATCTTTCGAATATTAGAAATACCTAATATAATTATGAAACAACTACTTTCCTGGCAAGCAGAAGCTTGAAATAGTTATTTATGTATCGCCCGGAGGGTAACATTCATCCGGGTCTGTTAGTAGCAACCGTTGCCAAGGTATTATGAAGCAGTAATGGACAAGTGAGAAATAATAATGTTGAGTTTGAAATCATAGGGGAGATATTGTGTTAGAGATGCATTTCTGCCTCACGGATAGCATTGTTGTTCAGCGAGTCAATCAAATATTTCCATCAAACATTGTGATCAATTCGATTCCAATTGATTCTAGGTAGTCTCGTGATAAATAGATAATAATGTTTAACTATTTTTAAATAACAAATGTTATAGAGAATAATCATTCAGAATCTTAGATTTTGTCGATACTTAACAGATATATGTAATTCAACATTCTGTGATATCAGCCAGGAAAGTAGTTGTATCCCGATCAAATGGTGCTCAATAGTAACTTGATTCCGGTAGAAGGAATCATATTATGTTTCTAGGGGTCGTCCGCAAGCGAATCTGAACGCTGAAAACCTCGGAATTTTCGGAGTTTTTCCGGTTTTCTGCCCATATCTTGCATACGACACGCCATACAGAGGACATCACAGTATCAAATGTTGAAGAACATACAATTCTGCGTCGAAAACCATCTCAATCTTGCTTATTCTCAAATTTATAAGGTCGCCGTTCGAAAATTCCAGTTGTTACCAACTTTTGTTGTGAAATATACCTACCAATATACCTACTCGCTTTTAGACCACTGATTTGAAAACAGCTAATCTTGATTAAAGAAATCGCCCAATAATCTTGTGACAATTATGATGGATCTCAACACCTCTCCAAACGTCTATCTGCTGAAGATAGGGAAGGGGAAAAAGCCTCAGTTGCTGTACCAACCACAGTCTCCAATGGAACAAAATATTGCCAAGCATAATAATATGAAGTTTCTGCACGCCATCTGTTTATAGCAAAGGCAAAACTTAATTCTTGAAAACTATCTCTAAATATCCAGAGCCTGAAGAGACCATTGGGGAATATTTGGATATGTGGACCCAGCCAATGGCAATTGCTGGTGCTGGAAAAACATGTTTGGTTGCCCTGTACGGGGCTAACCATGTAACAACTAACTTGACTGAGCTACGATACACGCAGTTCGTGACATCTACCTTCAAGTTCTCCAGCAAAATATTCCATCCATACCAGCTTACCAGCATAGCTTGCTTGTTTATCTTCAAGTGCAGCAGTGGCTTAGCAAAATTTTGGATCCAAAACTGGGGTTGTAGTAGTAGTAGTAGGGGGAGACTGTAGCCAAGCAATTAGGCCCCGATGGGCCCTTTTTGCTAACCCCTGCTCTCCACATATCTACGCTTCCTTCACCTAGATTTCCTTTACGAATCTCCCTGACCTTCTGATGAAGGCCAGTATGTCCGTCCACTCCAATATGATCAACTCCTTCTGTTGGAGTTTGTCGACTCCAAAGATTTCAAATCTCAGCCTCCTGTACGCCTCGCACTCGTCGAGAAAATGGAGTGACGTTTCTTCGTCGTGTTAGCCCAAACAGCACCAGATATTCCATGAATCTCCCTATCATATTCCTTCTGGAATATTGGAATATTCTAGAAATAATCTGGAATATTCCGGAATATCTATGGAATATTCTCTAAATATGCGAATGGGAATTACTCAGATAATCATAGAATATACCCAAAAGAATATTCTATGTTGAATGTTCCTGGAATATTCCAATAAACATATTCTAGAATTAAAAAAAGTGACCCAAGTAGGGATCGAACTCGTGACCTCAAGACTATCAGAGCAACGCCTTGACCACTAGGCCAGTAATCGATTTGAATAATGTTATACATATCAAGTTCTTGTGAGAGTATTGTTCGAAATCGGATCATAAACACTTTTTGTTCCAAAATCCCCTTACATCTAATTGATGTTCGATACTCATATCTCTGAAATAATAAATGGTATTTATGTGTTGAGAAAAAAAGGAATATTCATGGAATATTTCATGAATATTCACCACCGAATATTCAGTTGAGAATATTTCATGAATATACCGCACAGAATATTCAGTTGGGTATATTTCATGAATATACCGCACAGAATATTCAGTTGGGTATATTTAATGAATATACAACAGAGAATATTCAGTTGGGAATATTCCTGGAAGATTCATACCTGAATATTCCCTGAACATGTCCGACTATTCACTTTGGAATATTCCTTTTAGATGTTCCAGTGGCATGTATATATTCTAGGAATAATCGATGAATATTCGGAATATACTCCTCCTTTTTAGCATATTTAGAGAATATTCTATGAATATCCAGTGCTGTCTGGGAGGTGTCTGCCTAGCCTGTTGTGTCCTGTGAGGAGACGGAGTACTTCTCGGTCTCTGCCAATCAGTCAGTCCTTCCTTGATTTGCTCGGACCGGCCTGCCTGCAACCTGTGATATTCCTCCAGTATTCTCCTAGTGCCTTATCCACCCATTCATCAAGGGCTGACGTAGTTTGGCTCCTTGCTATACCTAGTACAGGCTCCGGTCACAGAAACGGCTTACCGGATAGACAGGGGGTTGAAAGTCAAACAAAAATGGTCTGATCTCTGTTACCACCTCGTAACTGTGCCGATACGAACGTAGCCAAACGAATCGACCTCGATGAGCAGGAAGACGACTCTTCATTTGCTACAACATTATCAGAGGCAGGTGAGACTTCAGAAGGTAATTTCATTTATATGATATCTCACGACATACCAAACTCGATCACATTACTTCCAGTTGAAGAACAACCATCACATTCTGCCACTTCAAGTGTTGAATAGCTTGAGCCTGAACTATCATCGACCATTGAACACACTACGCCCGGACGTTCCACAAACCCATCCAAACGTAGAAAAGTAAAATAAAATGGACATTGCTATCGGGTATTCTCCTCGGTATTCTCAATACATTGCATCTTCACAACACATACTACAACTTGCTTGATCTCTTTATTTTTTCAACTGACTATACGGTCTCCCCATGATTTTTCCTCCAAATTACAAAAAAATGAGGAACGAAGGGAAAGTAACTTTTAGGCCTTAGGGTTGGGGAGGGGGTGTTCTGTTAGGTTCACTTGGCAACCTCGCACATAATTTGTGTGTTTACGCTACGAGACGACTACGGGGGTTGTATTCTACGAGACTACGGTTGTTGTTGTATTGCTGTCTAGAGTCGACCATTATTAAACATTTCTAAGAAGAATGTTATCTTATTATTTCGTAATTCTCGAACCCTAATTAAACATGGTGGCAGCGGTGGGATAGTGTGTTAGTCCCCTAACCAAGTGATTTCTCAATCGAAAACGCATGTCGTTGTTGGCTACGGCAATATAAAAACCGTAGACCGCAGGTGACTCTAGAAGCGAAAAAAACGATTCCGTTGTGATGTCGGTGGCTCAGTCCATATCCGTGCCGGTGTCTCCGCCGAACAAATTCGACTTTTCAGTGCCTGCCTCATGGCCTCAGTGGCGGAAAAGATTCGAACGATTTATGTCAGTGTCTGGACAGAATACAAAATCCGACGAAGAAAAGATCAACATTCTTATGTATGTCTTAGGAGAAGAAGCCGAAGAAGTGATGTTGCAATTTCGTGGAGTGCCTACCTCATACGAGGCAACATTGACCGCTTTCGAAAATCATTTCATTCCGCGTAGGAATATAATCTTCGAACGCTACAAGTTCAATACCAGGACTCAGCAACCGGGAGAATCAATTGAACTTTTCATTACAAGTTTACATTCGTTAGCCGAACATTGTGAATATGGTGCACTTAAAGAGGAGTTGATTCGTGATAAAATCGTTGTCGGCATGCTAGACCGAAAAACGAGCGAAAGGCTTCAATTGCAGGCGAATTTGACCCTTAGTGACTGTGTTCTAGCTGTAAAGCAGGCAGAGCTTCAAGCGAGCCAAAGTAAAGAAATTGGCGGGATGTCGTGTCGCGCAGGAGCAGTGTCAGTCTCTGGTGTCCAGTTTCAGAACCAATTTCAAAATAAACGAGCGGCATCGTCAAGCAGCGTTGCCAAGTCTTCTCGGGTTTCCAGATTTCCAGGGAAAGAGAGGAAGGATGATCCAAGAATACAGAAGAAGTGTCAATTCTGTGGATTAGCTGCTCATGAACGAGACAAGTGTCCAGCAAATCAATCAATTTGTAGAGCATGCAAGAAACAAGGACACTGGGCAACGGTTTGTAGGAGTAGCAGAGAAAATAAGGTCAGGTCTATTCAAGTAGATACTTATTCAGATACTCAGGAGGAGATCAGTTCTAATGATAACAATTGTTCAAATTGTATGTATACCTCACCTAGTAATTTCATAGGGTCTATTCAAATCAATCACATTTCTGATAAGGAATGGACTATAGGATTGAAAATGTTAGAATTGAACAAAGATGTCAATTTCATGATTGACTCAGGAGCAGATATAACCTGTATTCCCTTTTCAATATTGGAAGAAGATACAATTCAATGTCTCTCTAGAACTAGTAAGCTAGTAACAGGCCCTTCAGGCAATCCTTTGAATGTACTAGGGACTATGCATGTAACTTTATGTAATATTAACAGAAATTTCAAAACTGAGATTTATGTAATCGAAGAACTTTGTAAACCTATCTTAGGAAGATCTGCTATTATAAATCTAAACATTCTTCAGTTTGGTGATGGATTTTGTTCGAAAATCAATAGTATTGCCAAATTTGGAATTGATGAGATACAAAAAAGTTTTCCAAAAATATTTGATCAAATAGGTACCTTCAAAACTAGTATGGATATCAAAGTTAAGGAAAATGTCCAACCATTCGTACAATCAGTTCCAAGAGTAGTACCTATTCCTTTATTGAATCCATTAAAAGCAGAACTTGATCGATTACAAAAATTAGACATTATTGAACCTGTCGATTATCACACACCTTGGGTCAGTCCGATTGTGATAGTAAGAAAAGGTGAAAAAATCCGTCTGTGTGTGGACTACACCAGATTAAATAAAGCCGTTTTACGTACGCATTTTCCGATCGGTAAAGTAGAAAGAATACTTGCTCAGATATCGTCTAGATACAACTTCTGGATTTTACCAAATTCGATTAACAAAAAATTGTCAAGATTTGACGTGTTTCATAACACCATTTGGCCGCTTTATTTTCAAAAGGCTTCCCTTTGGGATAACATGCGCGCCTGAGTATTTCTCAATGCTTTTGTACAGAATCTTACAAGGTCTTGAAGGTGTGATTTTTCACATTGACGATATATTGATTCATGCTTTTACCTTGGAAAAACATAATAAAATCCTTTTTGAAGTGTTAAGCCGTATCCAAGCAGAAGCTATAACCTTAAATCAAAGCAAATGTGTTTTCGGTGTAAATTCTCTTGAGTTTTTAGGTCATTCGATTTCGAGTGAAGGGATTTCTGTGGACTCAGAAAGAATTTCAGTAATTGTCAAATTTCCAGAACCAAGTGATAAAAATGAGCTCTTACGCTTTTTAGGCATGGTAAATTTTTCTAGCCGATTTATTCCTAATCGTTCTGACATTCTAGAACCTTTAACATCTTTGTTAAAGAAAAATATTCCATATTCTTGGGGTATATCACAAAAACGAGCTTTTGAAGAAATCAAACAACTACTTCAGGAAAGTCCTTGTTTGGAGTATTTTGATCCATCAAAGCGAATAATAATTTCAGCAGATGCTTCATCTTTTGGTATAGGCTCTTGCTTAATTCAACAAGACAAAGATGGACAGAAAAAAGTAGTTTGCTACGCTTCTCGTTCACTTTCAAAAACTGAACAACGATACGCGCAAATTGAGCGTGAGGCATTAGCTCTAACTTGGTCCTGTGGAAAATTTTCAGAATATATTTCCGGTCTTAAAGTTTTCATTGAAACCGACCACAAACCTCTAGTGCAGGTACTTCAAACAAAATCAATTGATGATTTGACCCCGCGTTTGCAAAGATTTCGATTGAGGCTCATGCGATATGAGTACGAAATATATTATGTACCGGGTAAAGAATTGGTCATCGCGGACGCTCTTTCCAGAAAATTTGATTCAAGCACTAAAATGCCTGATGAAGATGAACTCGTGTTAGAAACTGATACCTTTGTTAATTTGATAACTACATCTTTTGAGGTTAAACCATATTTTTTGGAAGAAATTAAACAACAACAGGTTACAGATCCAATTTGTATTAAATTGAAAGAATATTCAAATTCAGGATGGCCTCAAAGGAAGTTGATAAGTTCAGAAATTTCTCCTTATTATCAGTATAGATTTCAAATTTCCGAATGTGATGGGTTCCTCTTGAGAGGAACGCGATTAATTATTCCTAAATCAATACAAACCAAGTGTCTGGGATTTATACACCAAGGGCATCAAGGGATTGTAAAATGTAGAGCTCGGGCAAAATCGTCTGTTTGGTGGCTAGGGCTGTCAACAGAAATTGAAAATTTAGTTCGCAACTGTCCTCAATGCATAGAACACCGAGTGAACATAAAGGAACCGTTTATCAGAGAAAAATTTCCTGATCGAGCCTGGCAGAAAATCGCCCTAGATTTATTTAAACTCGATCAGTGGTACCTTATAGTGACGGACTATTTTTCCCGATTTTTCGAAATATTTAAACTCACATCACTTACAGAAAAAACAATCATCACCAAGCTGAAAGAATTGTTTTGTAGATATGGAATACCCGAAATAGTGAGATCAGATAACGGCCACAGTTTCAAAGTGAATTCAAAAAGTTTGCCCAGGATTATGATTTCGTACACATAACTAGCAGCCCGTACTATTCACAGTCTAATGGGTGCGTAGAGGCCGCAGTAAAGACGGCAAAGAATTTATTGAAAAAGGGTGAAGATATTTATTTATCTCTTCTGGCTTACCGGACCACACCTTTGGAAAATGGGTTCAGTCCTTGTGAATTGTTATTCAATCATAAAATTCGATCACCACTTCCAATTTTTCCAAAATTGTTGAATCGGAATGTTGATACTAGTCCTATTTTTGGAAGGGAGGGAAGGTATAGACAGAAAATAAGTACAAATTATAATAAACGACATCGTGTGAAAGATTTATCTACACTTAACGTAAACGATGGTGTTTGGGTGAATGATTTGAAAATGTATGGCAAAATTCTGAAACAATTAGAAGAACCGAGATCTTATTTGGTTGAAACCAAAAGTGGTACTTTCCGAAGGAATCGGTGGCATTTAGTTCCCGCTCCTTACTATCAGTTCACACCAAACAATTTTGAATTTAGAAATCAAGTCACTCCAGCACTCTCGGAAGTAGATGATAATGCTCGCGGTAATTTGAATGTGAGTACTAATGTACCCAATGCTCACAAATTTGATGTTAACCCTGAAGTAACAAGCGAGAATGATAATGTTCGTGAAAGTTGTGAAGATAGAGTTTGTGATCCGGTTAGTGAGGTCCAAAATAACGACAGTGTTAGTGTTCGCTCTCGATCTACTCGTATAATTAAGAGACCTTCTTATTTAAAGGATTATGTATCTTAATAGGCACCTTTTTATAAAGGGGGGGGATGTTCTGTTAGGTTCACTTGGCAACCTCGCACATAATTTGTGTGTTTACGCTACGAGACGACTACGGGGGTTGTATTCTACGAGACTACGGTTGTTGTTGTATTGCTGTCTAGAGTCGACCATTATTAAACATTTCTAAGAAGAATGTTATCTTATTATTTCGTAATTCTCGAACCCTAATTAAACAGGGGAGTTGGTACTTCTATTATGGGTTGTGAAGAGAAGTTTGAGAGGAAGGAGGATTGATATTTACAGGCGCAAACTCGTTATTATTGGACACCTTCATATTTGTTGAAATAAGCGTTTAGACGGAAAATCGAGAAATGATCAGTATAAGCACGCATTGAAAAATGAGTATAGTTTGATTAATAAACTAATGGATAGATATATCCTTCCAAAGTTGATAAAATTCAAATAATTTTCCCGCATAACTTCCAGACGGTAAAAGACGACACCACATTGAAATTTCTTGCATGAATGTATGTTGATAAAATACATTTTTCTTCTACCTCTACATTCCTGATATTCATAAAGGGTGTTTTCAGAGGGTCGGTCTTGATTTTTTGAAGACACCTTCTTTCCCCGTATTCTTGTTGGTGAAAAATAGACGCATTTGATAAAACGAAAAAAATTACATAAAAACGGTACTCTTATCAGAATACAAAAATTGTAACCGTTTTCGAGATATTTGAGATATTGTAGTCAGCCAATTAATTCATCAGTAACAATATTTTAGGAGTCCATGATCAATATTGTTCTTAATTTTGACGTTTATGACATGAACATTATTATTGTTAATTTCCTTGTTTAGTTTTTTGCTTAGTATTATTATTACAGCGATTTTACGAAATTGCAGTTTATATCCGTTATGCCGAGATCTTCTCTATTCGACGCGTTCCAAATTCTAGAACAATTTTAAGGATTGTGCAGAGATTGCGTGAAAAATAATGTTTTAAAACGAAAAATAGAAGTTCGAGGCCTCCTGTAATATTATTACTGATGAATTTATCTGATGATATCATGTCACCAAAAAAACTCAAATATCTCGAAAACGGTTTCAATTTTTGTATTTTGATAAAAGTACCGTTTTTATGTATTTTTTTCGCTCTAATACAAGGAAGAAAGTATTCTTCAAAAAATCATGACTCGCCCTCTAAAAACAATCTTTATAACAATATCAGAAATGTAGAAGTGTATGAGAAAAATGTATTTAATCAACATACATTCATTCATACAGGAAACTTCAATCTGGTGGCTTTTACCGTTTAGAAGTTATGTGGGAAAATTATTTCAATTTCATCAACTATGGAGATAAATATCTCCCTTAACATACAATTTGGGCCATTAGTTAATTCATCAATCTACATTTATTTTTCAATTTACTATCGCCTCCAGAAAGCTTGCTACACATTTTCGGCTCAACCTGTATATTGATCCGAATACGAATTTTCGGTGCTCACTCAAATTTGATGCTTTACAATTTTTATTCTACAGTAAACTAGCTGTTTTCAAATCACAGTCGTCTAAAAGTGAGTCCCTATATTGCAGTTTCCATTAAAGTTGGTGAAAACTGGCTTTTTTCGGCTGACGATAGCTACCTTATGAATTTGAGAATAATAAAGACATCATTCGCCGCAGAATTTTATGCACTTCAACTTTCAATACTGTTTTATTTTTCGGACGGTGGTGGTTTGGAAAATATGAGCGGAAAATAACCGGAAAAGCACTGAAAATTTTTGAAGTTTTTTGCGTTTCTTTGACCTGAACTACGAGGCATCAAACTTCAGATTCGGTTCAGCACCCCAAAAAACATTATTTTGTTGAGAAAATGTTTACCGCATATTTTCGAAAAAATACCAATTGATCAGATTGCTTTCTGTTGGAAATATTCGAATAAAAGTCATTGAACATTTTAGGTATTTCAATTATTTGGGATAGGTATATAATGCAATATTATGTCTTACCAGCCAGGAAAGTAGTTGTTTTCTGTTAGATATTTTAATGATAACTTTTATTAATTTTCAAAAAATTCAACTATACTAACTACTATTACACTACTCTTTTGAAATAGAAATTATTTGTTATAATTATGGGTCATACCAGGTTTAAATTTGGTCAGAATACATCTATTTCCTCTGCCTTTTCCTCTTTTCATCACAGCCTCGTTGAGATTCATTGTTATCCTTCTCTTGCAATTCAACGTACCCTACATACACCAGCACCAGTATCCTAGCACCTACCATGAAGGTTTAGCAGCAAAGTGAGGCAGGCAACTAGCAGCAAAAAAATATGAAACAAAATGAGAATGCTGACTCCAGCGTACCTATACAGGGTGTTTCAAAAACATAGGACATCGATCGACGTTGAATGGACTGAAAATCACTGACATAGTGTCAAAAATAAGACAAGAATGTTATATACGAATATAGCTTCAAAACGGCTCCATCGGGCTTTTGCACTAACAGATGGTGGGTCAAAATATACGTGGATGCATGTGAACACCCTGTTAAGCTATTTCTACAATTCTATCATCTCATGAACACACTATGTTTACACTGTAGAAACATATACAGGGTGCAGACTTTAACTGGAATTAATTCGCTACTGGGGAAGTGAATGATTTTTCGCGAAATTTGCCAGACACTTCAACGTTTTATTTTTGTATTTTTTCTAGATTCCATCTATTTCTGTATTTTTTTTAGATTCCATAAATTTTTCCTATATGCCAATCCATACTTTTTTCTTGAATTTTCCGGAAACAAATCCAACTTTCGCAGCTTATTCCATTACCTATATCTCTGGCGGTGTATTTATCGAAATCGTCACATCTCGCTATATACATCATATTATTTATTATGAATTGTTGGAATAATATTTGATGAAAAATGCGATTTCTATCAAAAGCACTAATGAGAACTACCCTGAAGAATTTGAAAAACTTCTTCTGACAGTGGTGACAACTATTCAAAGTTGAACAGCAGCGAAGTTTTGGTCGATTTTTGTTGATTCTCCATGGAAATGTATGTGGTGTTGGCAAAGTGCCGTGAGAAAAAATATTGCTCACAGTATGAGCAATACATGGTTTTGAAACTAAGTTATAGCTATAAGAAATGCGCTACTTTTCATAGCAGTAGTAGAAAAATGTATTTTCCTACATTTGGCGAGCAATATGGAGAATGTATCCCTTCAGGGGTAGCTGGAATCAACCCCAACATGTTTTTTTCAAATGCAACCCTATGGCTTGCGACCCCTCATTGGAAAGCTGGTTGAAAGAGGAATCAAGCGTACTAATCATATATCAGTTTGCAGTACGTTTGAGGGTGGCATAATAGCAAAATAAAATTTTGCAGTGCAATATATTTTCAACATATTTTCATCGAAATGCTGACTCTTAGTAACACGGCATTCGAGTTTGCAATAACACTTCGTTTCGAACTGTGAATACGGCAAAAAACTGAATTTCTTTTTGCGGCTCTATAAAAACACTGGAATACAATAGCAGATAGTAGTTGTGGCAATAAAAATGCCATCAATTGTTCAACACACATTTTGAGCGATTGATACGTTGATAAATAATTGAAATTCAAAATCACATTCCAATTGTATGCAACCTTTAAACGTATGAAAAACTAAAATCTGACTACTACGCTGGATTCCTCTTTCCAACAGCTTTCCAATGAGGGGTCACATGCCATATGATTACATTTGAAAAAATCATGTTGAGGGTGGTTTCAGCTTCCCCTGGACAGTGGCGGCCATTTTCACCGAAACACTTACACCACAGTACCACACTCCTCAGTAACCAATAAGTAACGTTTTTTGGAATTAAATTATTATAATTCAATTAATACTCACCTGGAATATAAAAACAAAAATACTATGTTGTTATTGTTGTTTCTCAATAACGAATACCCAATACCTATGGTGGTTGACATTTGACAGAACGTCAATAATAACCGCCATATTCGAAATGGCCAGTCCGCATTTTGTGTTGGAACTATAGCCAATGAGACTTCACCTTCGCATTACCCAATGAATTTTTGGATCTACAAACGAGCGCATACGTCTTAAAAATATATATAGATGAAAAGGCCTATTCTCAGAAAAAATATTTACCTTTCCCGCTAACGAATTTATTGCAGTTAAAGTCTCCACACTGTATATCTCTGCAACGTTTTTTTTTTACATACAAAGTGCGACCAGAGATTTTTCCCTAGTCTATAACGATTTTACGATTGTTTTTTTTAAATACATACATACAAAGTGTGACCAGAGATTATACACTGAACTCTAATGTGCTCATAGTTGAAAGCAGATCATCCCCCTGAAATTCGTATTTATCATCCGATTTCAATATGACTACTTTTTTGTTTCAATTGTAGGACAGAAAGAGTACAGGGTGCCTCGGTGCCTGGGAAATTCTACAAAATAACATCATATACAGTGTGTCTCACTTCTAATGGAAGCACCCCTGCATCTCAAGTATTTTTGATAGGATTCTGAAATTTGCAGGTGCGGAAGATATACCAAAAATACACTCTATGGCCAATTCGAGTCATCTTCAGATTATTGTGACTAAAATGACGGATCTGATCTTCTGAAAACTGGCATGCTCTTGTCTTTCTACACATCCTCCGTCTTGCTTCAAAAATGATGTAAACTCAGTTTTGAGGAAGTTGGAGGCGGGGGAACAGTTTCAATCTTCTCCTGAAGATGCTAACATAGTTAGCGAAACACGTGTGGAGCCATTCGAAAAATCGGTTTGGTTAGTGGTAAAACAGCAGTGTAGTGTACACTTCATTTCACCTTGTTAATTCAGACATTTCAAAGGATCTGTATGGTTCACTTCACAACACAGGGTGGCCCACGGTCGATGGTACCTTAGACGTATACGGAAAACGGTACATTGGATTATCCTGAAAATTTGGTTACTCCAATAAGCGTTTGTGATCTAACGATTCAAAATATTTTCAGCGCAGCAGCGTTGCCACTTTTACCAAAAAGTAGCATCATCTTTGTTATTTCAAATGGAACACCCTGTATTTTATTGCGTTTTCAGATTCTTCTCGAAGAGCTGATTTCATCAATGCATCACACTTGGGGTCTAGCAGGAATTATTACAGAGATATAGGGAGATTTTTCAATTTCAGAACTTTTTTGTGTCGAAACTATTCATCATTGGTCAAAACGGCTTACATCTCCCTATATTAACTTTTGATTAACTATCTACCGACATTTAATTGGACAAAATACAGGATGGTCCAATATTCAGAATATTGATCACCCTGTATCTGTTCCAATTAAATGTCAGTAGATAGTGAATCAAAAGTTAAGATAGAGACATGTAAGCCGTTTTGATCGATAATGAATAGTTTCGACACAAAAAATTCCTGAAATTGAAAAATCTCGATTTTGAACACCCTATATCTCTGTAATGATTCCTGCTAGACCCCAAGTGTGATGCATTGATGAAATCATCTCTTCGAGAAGAATCTAAAAACGCAATGAAATACAGGGTGTTCCATTCGAAATAACAAAGATGATGCTACTTTTTGGTAAAAGTGGCAACGCTGCATCGCTGAAAATATTTTGAATCGTTAGATCACAACCGCTTATTAGGGTAACCAAATTTTCAGGATAATCCAATGTACCGTTTTCCGTATACGTCTACGGTACGTGATTTTGTTGCGCCCATCATAAAATCACCATGGTCATTGAACATAAACTTTCAGTTCGATGCCATGGTTTTTTAGTTCTCATTGAATTTCAGTCATCATTATTGATGCTTTGCGCTTTCCAAAAATATATAACACTTTTACTTTTTGCCTGGAATTTAGACAATTTACAAATTTTTTTATTCATATTTCTTATTGATCAGCCTTGTGAAAGTGTGGCAATATCTTTATTAATATCATGAATTTTCATATTTACTCTTTTGCTGGCAGATTGTTTTGTCACACACTAGTTTCAATTTCACCTACATTCATTATTTATCAATATTCAGCATATCAGCACAATCAGCACTATTTATTGACTATAAAAGCTGTGGACCTAATCAGTATAGGTGCCAATGGGGAAAAAAGCTTGCAGAATGTTTTATAATAATTCTTTAGTTGGTTTAATAGTTTCCTATAGTTTTGATATCCTGGATTATAATTCACCATGGGATGAAAAATTTGTAAACTGTACTTTAGTATATATACAGTGTGAGTGTGGTCATTTGAGTGTGCAACATATGGGAATCTTTTTAATGAATTACGCAACTAAAATACAGATAGTGCCGAAAGTTGGTGCATATTCAGTGATCATTTTAGGAGCACTCAAAATGGTTGCAAGTCAAACAGCATACAGGGTAGGTCAAAAAATATAAAAAATGTTCAAGAGTAAAAGTACCCTTATTTCAAAAAATTCAGCAAAATCTTGATGAGAAAAGTTGTTTGCAATAGAAAGTTATGCCAAAATTACCAAAACATGGCCTCCTAAGACATATTAATAATAATAATAATAATTTTTTTTATATTCACCCTTAACACTTCCATAAGTTGATCAAAACAAAATCAGTTGATCATACCTTTGTTCAAATTCAAGCATATATTTGTGCAATTAACTTGGATTTGAATTTTTTAGGGAATCACAAACTTTATGTTTGTTGCAATGATATTTAGCTTTTAGCTTTAAAATTTCGCAAACCACATTTTTAACAGGGTAAAACGTCATTAATGATAATTTGCAAATTCCTGTTTTACCTTGTTGAAAATATGGTTTGCGAAATTTCAAAGTGAAGCTGATTATCGTTGCACAAATATTCTTAAATTTGAACATAGGTATTCTCAACTGATGTGTATTGTTATGATCAAATCATGAAATTGTTTAGGGTGAACATAAAAAAATTACAAATTGAGAAATTATTAACGAAAAGAATTGAAAAATTAAAAAATGTCTTAGGAGGCCATGCTTTGGTATTGAGGCATAACTTTCAATTGTTAACAACTTTTCTCAATAACATTTGATTGAATTCTCCGAAATGAGGGTACATTACGCCTGAGCAATTTCAAGATTTTTTTTACCTACTCTGTATGCTGATTGACTTGCAACCATTCTAAGTGCACCTAAAATGATTACCGAACATGCACCAACTTTCGGCACTATCTGTATTTTGATTGTGCAATTCATTAGAAAGATTCCCATATGTTGCACACTTAAATGACCACACTGTGTAGGTATACCTATAGTATATGATCTTGGATTTAATGCAGATGTAACATGGCCAAAGATTTTCTTGTATCCTCAATATTTCTTTGGGTTTGCAATTATCTGCCTCTCTCATAATGAATTTTACAGTTTTCTTCTCCCAATGAAATGATTGAAAATAATTCTCATCATCACTATATACTCTGTCTGTGGATTCTGTTTCATTTTCTGATGGAAAGTATTTATTTCTCATAGCATGAATATGTCTGCATAATCTCATGCAATCACAGTAATCTAAGCATGTACAAGAAAATATAATTATGTCCACAGACTTTACACAATTTACACCAAGAATAACAAAATGTTCCCTCTCTGCAAACAGCAGGGGTGTTTTTAACCAAATGATGGATATCAACAGATCTTTCTGATTTTACCTGCCAGACTGATGTTTCTATTTTAGAAATCTCCTGTGGCTTGATACAAATCCCACTATAGTGATGCTTTAAGATACTTTATATATTATGTTTTGTTGCCGAAAGTGATTTTTTTTATAATAATGATGGTAATGACGAATAACAAAATAAATATACCTATACCATATGGGGATTTTACTTAATCTCATCAATTAGGTACCTCTGACTACTTATACTCATAGAAATTGAACATATGAAGTAGGTACCTAAAATAGGAACAAAAATGGGAATCAAAATTGAATCCTGTAACATTAAAAGGAGATTCACAGGAAAAAGTAAAGCTGTATGCTGGATCAAAGGCTGTACTCTGTGAACTCCTATGGTACTGTTATTGTTGGTACCGGTACTTACAAATTATTATTTCATCATTTTCACACGTTCTCTGTGATTTCAGTCAAATTCAGTACATTCAGTATTTGTGTAAGTTGTTCGGAACAAATGTGGTCCAAGTCCTAGAGATTATTATATTTTTGGTCATCTAAACTACCATCTCACTCACCACCAAAATAATAGTATCAGAAGATCAGGAAATGATGTATATCATAAAAGTATGCAGCAAGTTCCAATCCAAGATTCCAAGACCGTTATTGCCAAAATATCTTTCGAAAAATAAAATTATCACGACTACTTGACCATTTCATCCAACTTTGTTTAGTCTTTAAGGAATATAAGTACAATCGGATTGTACGGCAGTCGGCATTTGCCTTATACCCTCATGCGTACATGGGCCACAGACCATAATAGAGAGCCTAAAGTTTTCGAACCATTCTCAAACACAAAAGTGAGGTTAGATTATGAGCAGAAAATGAAAACAAAAACAACAACAAACACTTTTCGCCTGTTCGGTTTTCGGTAATTTCGGTTGCAGGTTGCCACAGCGTTTTGCATATTGAGTCCAGTCACTTTTATAATAATCAACTATACGATTTTTGTAAAATGTTGAATGTATGTAGAACAGTGTGTTCCCAAAAATTGAAGACAATTCGTTTATTTTCTTCAGACACAATTTTTGCTTTATCCTCAGGTAGAAATGATATACCAGTTGAAGATCTAAGATTTATACCTACTGTTCTTATTATATTCACTTTCAGTTTTGATTCATATGTCCTCTATTGAAAACATCCGAATTTAAGGCTTTTGGTATCCACCTAAGATGATGATAATGTAAAAACCACGATTAAAAACTTATTGGAACTGAGAGGAACAAATGAACTACTATCTATCTATCTATATGATAAAATGTCAGAGATCACCCGTTTCGGATTTATCCACGATCTTCTTCAATAAATAGCCAGATTTCAAAACCCTATAGAACCATGGACAATCAAGTTTTCGATGCAGTGTTTGTCATCCATTAACAAGTTATTTGTTTTACTAGGCTATGCTTGGCTATGAACTGTCAGCCGCGGCAGTGAATCTACATTTACTACCCTGTGAAACATATAATTTTTTCTCCAAATGTTATGAAACCCATTTTGTGCAGATTTTTATTACTAATTTTATTAGAATTTCTTGGAATATTGCATACCAACAAACTTTTCCTGCCTAGGCGGTAAAAGTACACCTTTAATGCATGTTAAGTGTCAGAGAAAAGCCACTTTCCCTGTCTATTTATGTTAATTTGATATTTTGTCAACATTTAGGAATTTTGAATCTGCCAAAATTGATAACATATTTGGAAAACTGATCATGTTCTTGAAAGTTTCAAATGGAACCCTGTATTTCATCTCATCCTTGGATTAAGCTCAGAAAGAAGAGTTCAATGATATATGAAAATATGAGTCTGAGAACACCTGGTTCGGACCTTTTTTTTTGTCATGGAGGTGGTTGAAATCCGTTGAAATCCTTTATGGATATCATATGGGTCTGATCCCCAATTTGGGCAATTTGATAGTGTGGGGATCCCTTAAACACTCCACCCTGTTTGACAGATTTCGTGATGTCTTCAACAACACTTAGGCCTAGTGGCCCATTATCCTACCCCACTTCAATATGAAAGACCCTTTTCGTTCAGTTTCTTGAAGATTACTCTTCTGATCCCTGTTCTCGTCTACAAAGAAGGCCAAATATTTTCGTTCTCAGATGTACCTAAATTATTGTCCCATCTGGTGCAAGATAGCGAAGATGGTCCCAAAATGCCTCATCTGTAGAGAAGCCGAGGTTTGTTCTCCCCACACCACTTAATGGTGAGGTTGGGGAAGAGGAAAAAAGAAGTTGGCCAAGGAAGGCCCATAGTATAGATTGAAAAAGGAAGAGATAAATAATAGGATATCACCCAAGACAAGTTGAAGTACAAAGAATATCCGGCTAGAGTACGTCGGGTTCACCATTTCCGTACTCACAAGTTGTGAGCCCCCGAGGGGCGTTTCGGACTTATCCATAATCTTCTTCAATAAGTAGTCAAATTTCAAACGTGGATTATGTTCTCCATATGCGCTTTTTTCGTTATAAATCGATAAACTCTGTAAGTTCTCTTAATCGTTGATCAAAATCTAGATAGGTATGTTGAATTTGCAAAAAGTGAAGGGGTATTTCAATAACTGATCATTTTGTCGAAATTTCAGAAAGAAACACCCTCGATTTTATTTTCTTTTTGGATAAAGATCATGAGATAATGTTCAAAGGTATTTAATTTCATGAGTCAGTGATACCCCTGTTTCCGACTTAATCACACTCTTCGAAAAATAGTCAAAACTTCTTAGGGCCTCTAACAACATTGTTAGTCAACTTTTCAATGCATAGTTTTTATTTCAAAGATCTAAAATTTTGTCTGCTATCCTCATCACATTACACTGTTTTATCACTAAAGGCACTAACCGCACAGTGGATGGATGTCCCTGTTCACATGTTAATTCAAATCCTAAATCACTAAACTTTACAGAGAATGATACAGGGTGCGGAGACCCTGGAGAACTAGAATAAATTCGCTATAGCGGAGAGGTGAATGATTTTTCTGAAAATTCGCGAGACACGTCAATATTTTAATGTTTTTACCTACATTTTGCAAGAAATATATAACCCTTCAGGGGTAGCTGAAATCAGCCCCAACATTTTTTTTTCAAATGATACCCTTTGGCTTGTGACCCCAAAGCTGGTTGAAACAGGAATCCAGCGTACTGATCAAATTTCAGTTTGCAGTACGTTTGGTGGTCACATAAAATCAAAATATAATTTTAAAGTTTAATATATTTTCAACGTATTTTCATCAATATTTCGATTTTTAGTGACATTGATCTGAACTGTGAATATGGCATAAAAACTAAATTTATTTTAGCGGATCTATAAAACACTGGCATACAATATATAATAGCTGATAACAGTTGTGGCAAAAAATTGCCATTCATTGTTCAACAATGAGCAATGGTTAGGTTGAAATAAATCGAATAATCTTGAAATTACATTTTGATTTTATGCAACCCTTGAACGTACAAAACACTTGAATAAAATTTGACAAGGATTCCTCTTTCCACCAGCTCTCGATATACGGGTCACAAGCCATAGGGTTGCATTAAAAAAAAACATGTTTAGGGGTTTCAGCTGCCCCTGAAGGAATAATATTCTCGAAATTGCTTGCAGAATATAAGTAAACATTAAATCGTTGACGTATGTCGGGAACTTTCATAAAAAATATTCACTTTCCCGCTAGCGAATTTATTCCAGTAAAAGTCTCCACAATGTATGTAATAGGTCCATTATCCTTATTCATAACTTTATTCTATTTTTGATCAAATGTTTTTATTATTTGAGAATAGTAATAGTATAAATAAGGATAATGAACCTATTCCATATAGCTCTTTATCCAAAAATGAAATTGAGGGTGTTCCTTTCTGAAGGATTTTTATTCATCATGAAACAGTTTCAATTATTGGGATTATAATTTATAGTAAAGTTTGAACAATGGACTTATATCACAAAAAATTTTTATTCCATAATTCGATAGAACTCACCCGAACTAGCTTACCACAGCAAACCGTTTATCGCTGTGAGCTCCCTACCTTTTATAAAAAATTATTGAAATCCCCGATTTTTCGGACCTCTGAAAACGAGGCGATGATGTGACGTCAAAACCCTAATACTGAAACAGGACTATTCCAGACAGAGATGAATGATACATGATTTCTGGCAGAGTGAATTAGCGCGAGATCACAGTTGAAAGAATTAATATATCAGTTGCCTCAGTCTCCGTCCGGCGTTTGGTATTTTCTTCTAACTATGGCGAGATGAGGTTTCTACGTCATAAGAGGGTCCGTTTTCAGATGGTACTATTATTTATGTCCAAAAATTGAACATTCCAGTAATTTTTTCGATCGAATTATGTCGTCAATCATCATTTATGTATGAAAGGATCATTATAAACATGGTTTGAGTTAAAAGTTCTACCTAAAGGTGTACACGCCCATTATTACTTCCAATTCCAACATAAATTCATGACGATGTTCCATGTTGCTGCTGATCAGAAATGTTAGATATTTCTTGAAGAGTTGATTCCACAATATCATCAGATATTTTATAATTTGTCTGGAAGAAGATGTACAATTCAATATTTTATTGGAAATCTAAAACTTCCTAAATTCATATTCACAGTTGTAATAAAAATATTGTTTGTATTTCGTGTATAAAATTCATATTTTCCATTACAAGAACACTCATTTTACGCACTTAATACAAAAATAACAATTTTGAGAAAAATCAGTGAGTGAGCTTATTCAAAAAAACACTTCCAGAGAAATTCAGATATTTCAATCTAGAACCCTATAAAATGTTTTATTTTGAAAAAAAAATACAATTTTGGATCAGGAGAATCAGGGGCGGAGAGTACTTGTTTTCATTGCAGTACTGCATAGTGTATCATCCACTTGATTACATGATCTCAAGTACCTACATGGCACTCTGCTGAAAAACTAAATCGGTGCATTATCATATATGCTGGATCACAATAGAAAATCTATATTTGTATTATCTGATACCTACCAGGTCATGGAAAATGTGGGGTTGCCGTCATTCGGGTCTCTGGGAAGAATTCACCTACCGCTCTGAAACTATTGACAGATTCCAATGTATTACCGAAAGCAAGAAGTGCAATTTTGCGACGTATAAAACATCCTATAAGCAAAGAAACATTGGACAGAGGACTAATTTTGTGGTTTCCTGGTGAGTACCACATCCCTAACCATATTTTAGAGTTTATTATTGTGAAATGTTCTCACAGAAACTTACCACATATTCCTTAGACCGAAATGATTCGATTTGAGTGACTTTTCTCACTTCAAATGATGATCAATATTGATTCACAGGCGCAGAACTAACATTTTTTCGACTGTTGTAGTCTTCAACAATAAGAGAAAGATCAGACTTGATAATCCTCACGAAACTCGTTTGTTAATACGGTAGATACAAAAAAAAACACTGAACTTACTTTGATAATAGTATATTATATAACAAACATCCTTTTAGTAACAAGTGTCTAGAAGAGTTTTTAAACGCATTACATACTATACTTTTTCTACGAACTTATAATTCCTCTCTTCTACAAGATCCCATAATTCCGAAAAAAAATCTGATATCATGGGAATATTCCTTAGACTGTATCATATTAATATTCTGAATATGTGCACTTATTTCAAAAACACCTTGTATATTGTTATGCTTAGCATAGAATAAATTTGTCCAGAAGATGAGAGCTTCATTATTATACAGAGTTCTTATGCAAGGAAATATGCAAGTACCTGAACCATTATCTTCGATTTCACTTCTGTCTACATTTCGCATTGATTTTTAATTAAGAATTCTGATACAAACAGAAATTGTTTGAATAATTATGATTGTCACCGATTGCAAACTGCAACAAAATTCGGAAATGACAGTTGACAGTTCCTACAATCGACAGGCCGGGCAGGACTCAAACTACTGAAGGTGTGTTGAAATAACTGTTGCCATGGTAATGTGTTTAAGAAATTGTGTTTCCATGGTAACTTGTTTAATTTTCCGAATAAATCACAGATCGTCAATATGTGATTAATCGATCATTTAGCATTGTACATATCTGTACGCCATTTGAGTTATGTGAGTAGAAAAATATATTTTTTATGAACAAGCATGGTCATCTATTATCAATTTAAAAAGTAATATTTTTCTCAAAATACACGTGGATGGGAGTTTTTCTCCATGAATGTGTTCCTCTAATGGAATATGTATATTTCACAATATTTTGTCGGGCAAGAAGTAACACACCACAGGGCCCGTTTTTTGATATATGATTTGATTGTTTTTGTTAATTTTTTCATCTTTTAAGTGGAAATGATACAGGGTGATTTACGAAAGCCACACATATTAAACGTGAATCACCCTGTATCAAGATCCGAGTCAAGATCTATCAAAATTTGCAAAAAAAGGAGGGTGTCCCATTGAAATAAAAAAAAGTTGAGTGTATTTGCGGTTAAACCGGAAGTACAGTGTGTCCTGTTTTCGATGCATTTGCGTGATATCTCAGTTATCTTTCTAGGAAGAGTGTTGCGGTTTTCACGTTACCGCCTCACTTTTTTTGTGAAGCAACTAAACTACTCAACACTAATTTCGTCGCACACCAAAATGTCGCCCCTGTTATAATGTGAATAACTTTTTTCAGTATAGAACAATTTGAATTTGCTTCACATTGTACGATAGCCCAGTCCTTCAGCTATAATCTTGTACTTCATTGAAACATAAGGGTATTCAGATGAAATCTCTACATGGTGTTTTCCGACACTGTGCAAAATTTCGGAATATTCAAAAGGCTCTCAAATGGTGAAAACAATTTTTTTCTCAACTTCGACAACAGAGGCATGAAGATGATCTCATTACCTCGAGATATTTCGCGAATCAACTTCCTATCTCTCTTATTTACAGAGTGATCTCAAAAAATCAACTTTTTGGTTTTGCAGCCATAAATTTTTTCCACGTCAACCGATTCTATAAATCTTAGGCTCATTTTGAAGATAAAACTTCAGATGAAGAGATCTGAATATCAGAATTGACTCAAGATGGCTATCAGAGATCTAGAGTTTTCTTGAAAGTGACCCAAATCTGGAACGCCCTCCGAATCTCGGTTGGGAGGAGAATTGAATAAAAATCAACTTGTTCTCGGAAAAACAATTTATTCTGGATGCGTCCATATTTTCCTCGCTCTCAGTAGCCAATAATGGTGCGTGAGAAAACACAATTGAAACATGTTCCTGCAAAAACATCAGACCATTTCTCCTCTGTAATGCATGGCCCGTAACCAACGTTACAAGAATCACAATGAGTGACTGACAAACCCGAAAAGTTGATTTTTTGAGATCACTCTGTAAATAAGAGAGATAGGAAGTTAATTCGCGAAATATCTCGAGGTAATGAGATCATCTTCATGCCTCTGTTGTCGAAGTTGAGAAAAAAATGTTTTCACCATTTGAGAGCCTTTTTAATATTCCAAAATTTTGCACAGTGTCGGAAAACACCATGTAGAGATTTTATGTGAATACCCTTATGTTTCAATGAAGTACGAGATTATAGCTGAAGGACTGGGCTATCGAACAGTGTGAACCAAATTCAAATTGTTTTAAAGTGAAAAAAGTTATTCACATTATAACAGGGGGACATTTTGGTGTGCGACGAAATTAGTGTTGAGTAGTTTATTTTATATCTTTGATGAGCTATACGAAATCTGAATTCGGAATCGAATTGGATAGACATATATAGGGTGTCCAATTTGAAAAAAAAAATTGGCTTCATTTTCTAATAATGAGCGATTACAGAAATTGTATTATACGTAGAAAGTTATATTCGGCCCCGTTAACATCTTGTCGATAAGTTGAAAAGTAACTAAAATACGGGAGGTGCTCAAAGCGAGAGAGTCTTTAACTTCGCCCTGTATCTTAAAAATAAGGACTGAAAATTCTGTAAAAGTAATGCAGTAATGTGAAAACCATAACACTCTATATCGCGCAAAAGCATGGAAAACAAGACACACTTCTGAAAATGAATATTCTCAGATAAATTATGAACATGAAAAAATGAAAAAATGGTTATACATATAAAGAAATACATTGAGAATGCGCATTCTCTATGTGATGAAAATATCAATTCTCTCTCGATTTAATCAACAGAAAACTACTTTCCTGGCTATATGCTATGACGAACATTGAATTATATCTGTTGAACATCCAAAAAGAGAGCATGAAATAATAAAATCCTTTGAAATTGCGAATTGACAATCTCTCAAATCTGATAAATAATATGATGTATTATGATATAAAAAAATTAAAAATTTAACTTACCAATATGTTCAGTATTGAAATGAAATTTGAAAAGTATAGGATTTGATTCGAGAATTAAAATATTCATTTAGTTTCACTTCGAATAATAAATAACTCTCTTCATTCTTCATTTCCATAGGTAAGTTAATATATTCTTTTTTTCTGTGACGGGAAAAAAGTTTGACATTGGATCGCTATTGTGTGAGTACTTTTTCCCGGATATATAGGTGTATTTTTGATGGCTTTTGTTGTGTCAGTTCCGAAAAATAAGCTAAAAACACCATCAAACACCGACAAAGAACTGAATGTCCTTTTTTTCTTCCATTCCACTGCGCAGTTACATAAATCACTAAACAACCACTTCTGAAATTGCAATTGCAAATCAAAACACAGAATTGAAGTGACAAATATTTCAAAAGGTTACCCTAAAGAATCCTGCAGAAAGATTCCTGAAAATTGGATGATTTTCTGATGTAATATCTTCTCAATATGGAGTCGTCGTCTTTCCTGTCACAGAAAAAAAAAGTGTTATACATGGGAAGAAGAATATATTAGATTTTAGCTCAAGGTATATTGTCTCCCTCCGTTATGCGTCGGGAGACAACAAAACCTGGAGCTAAAATGTATATTTTTTCCTTGGTATAATAAATAACTATATTACTGCTTTAGAAATGCCCATTAAATCCCTGAACTGCATGAAAATACTAGCGTGTTTCAGTTGGAAATCAAAAGTAGATATCACTTCGACTTTACACTATTTATAGATGTCTCCATTTCGAAATCTGAGGAATATGTGGTAGGTTTTTGTCAAGATTTTTTACAGGCACCCTGCATAAAATCTATTTTGAATTCAATAGTACAACTCACCTTATTCCTAGATATATTTCTGTGAAAGTTATGATGAAGACAATAATTCGTCTCATTTTGAAATTGAAGGCCCCAAAAGTTTCACAGGAGAGGACAGTTTTGAACTACAAGTACATGGTGGAATAGCAGTAGTCAATGCGATTTTGAATGCTCTGGGATCCATTCCCAGTTTGAGACTGGCCGAGCCAGGAGAGTTCACCAGAAGGGCATTTCATAATGCTAAGCTGGATTTAACTGAAGTAGAAGGACTTGCAGATCTGCTACAAGCTGAAACCGAGTTACAAAGAAGACAGGTAAATTATGGTAAATTATGCATCAATTGTTGATGGAGCACTGGGGAGCTGAATGATATCCACTTTTCCAAATATCAAAATATTTCAGGGAGGGCGTGGTCAATCGAAAGCATTGCATTAAGTTGAAATCAAAATCTTGATTACTTTTCACTACAAGTGTAGTTTAAAAATATTATTAAAATAATATAAAGTAGGTTAAGTAGGTCAGTTGATGAGTATAACAACGAATTTATAAAAATCATTTTTTTTTCAATATGAAACATCTACAAGAAAAAAACAAAAATAAAGGAAACATGGCTGAAAGACTCAAGTCGATGGTCTGAGATAAAATCGGACTGTTGGGGCTGTCAGGGTTCATTATTTTATCTCGAAAATAATGCTAGGTATTTTTGCCACGACTACAAAGCCAAACTCAGGGAATAATTGACAGCAGTCCGATCCTCCCGAAAGTTTATAGTTCTGAATAGGCCCTAATTTCCTACAAACAAGGAAAGGATACTATAGCCCACCTTACAGCTGACTGTGAGGTAAATCCTAACCTCACAGGACAATTCCCACAATACTACCCCTGCCTAAGATTCCTAACTTCCTAGAAGATAGCTAATCTTAATACTAGAGCTGCTAAGCTTCCGTCAAACCCGCCCAGACCACCACGTCGGCGTTGCACCGGGTACTGGGGGTTCCCTATCGCCTAGTCCTATCAAGGCTGAAGGCCTCTGAGTCCCTAAGGTTATCCTGCCCTTATTCCCGACGCGAACCGTGTGTCCCGCAGGTACACTAAAGGCGTTTAACGTCACCCTAGGGAAGTGCAATGCTTTCACCTCCTGGCTACTAACGTATCCCTAGAGTTAGACGGCACCAGAAGGCATTCCGGAATGCCAGTGGTTGCTACGACGAGGTACCAAGGGATGTGGCCAGGCTCAACCACAAAGGTCCTTAGTCTTGGAGCCTTGGTACCGTACTGGAGCTCTTCTCTCTTGCAATAAGATAAGGGAGGACTAGGATCTTTATTCGGTAGGTGGGAATAATGACCTTTAATTTTGTCCCGTTAGGACAATTTTCTCATCAGAGCAACGAATTCTAATCCAACCAATTTGGTTGGTCACCCACTTTGGTTCGTATTCTAGAGCTGGCTGTAGACCTCTATTCTTCATCCACCCTTGTGGAATAATCGTCGGAAATACCAAACGGCTTTCTTCTAATATTTCTATCCCTTTGGAATAATCTTCTCAAATATCAATCGGCTTCTTCTACGTAATATTCCTTTTGGAATAATCTTCTCAAATATCAATCGGCTTCTTCTATGTAATATTCCTTTTGGAATAATCTTCTTCTATTATTCTACTTCTTCTATTCTTCTTATAATAGTACACATCCAACCCTATGGGAGTGATGTGGAGTCGCAACTCAAATACTAGTAGTTCACTCAGAACTATTAAAAACACTACCAACCATATAGGTAGCGGAGTCGAATCTGAACTTCAACCTTATAGGTAACGGAGTCGAATCGGAACTTCAACCCTATAGGTAGCGGAGTCGAATCGGAACTGTCGCTAGCGGCAATTTGGCCGATATTTATCCCTATACGCGAAAAGCTCTTAGGCTCCGCCTACCGCGTTCTCGCAGTCTCTGCGCGCTGATTGGCTAATCCACAAATCGCGCAGTTGGAACTAAAATTCTCGCACTCTCTTAGGCTCCGCCTACAGCGTTTTTCATGAAATCAAGAAGCCGATTGGTTTAAAATTTAAATGACTACAAAACTTAACCATTTTTAGTTTATTTCATTCCTAATGAATGAAATAATAATTATTAATACTTTTAATAATTTTTAGAGTAGAAAGCCATGTTTGGTGACACCCCCCTGCTTAAGAAGGTCGCTAGCTCTAAAACCCCCCTGCTTAAGAAGTAATATTTCTATTTCTACAGCCCTATTATGAATATTCTCCGCCATGGGTGACCTAGATCTGAAAAGATCTAATTTTTTTTATTTTTATTTTCTTCTTTCTTTCTGCATACATCATTTTACAAAAGCTGAAAAATACAAAAGCAAATTAAAACAAGAACAATAACAAGAAAAATCCTTAAAACTATAAAAGTCTTTTCAAAAGTTCTTATCACTTTCAAAAGTGTCTATCAATAACTTTCACTGTCAAGTGTCTATTATATAATTGTTTTTCCTTTTTTAAAAGTTAGTGAACCCAGTTTTTATTGTTTATTAGGGGTATTCACTAACTCACACTCACAGAGCGTTTATCAGGGGTATTCACTACACATTAGTGTTAGTAACAGTCACCAAAGTACAGTGTCTTACTCGTGCACCAATCTCGGATCAAGCTGCTCTTGACCAACTCTAGGGACAGGGGCAGTCCGGATGTCATCCAAGTGGACTACAGTATCCAACCCTTCCTTATTAATTATATAAGTAGTTGCACCTATTCGTTCTACCACCCTACAGGGACCTACCCAAGTCTGACCAAAATTCTTACGGACATTCTCCGCATTTCTAACCATCACCCACTGATTTGGTTCAAATTCTTTAGGAAAATTTTCCTTATTTGGAAATAATCGGCGTTGATATGCTATACGTTTATCATTCGCAATATTAATCCTAACATTTCTATCTTGAGGATTATTATTAGGGGGACGAGATTTTTGTATTGGAGTAGCCCACTCTCCAGGCCGCGGCAGATCATAGCCTAACAACAGCATCGACGGGGTAGAATCACTTGACAAATTTTTCCGAGTCCTCAAATCAAAAAGCATTTCGGGGATATAATTTTCCCACAAATTTTGATTCTTCATTATTAATTTAGCCCTAAGCCACTTTTTTATTTCTTGGGCTCTACGCTCCACCGGATTTGCTCTCTGATGATATACTGGGGAAAATTTGATTGTAATATTATTATCACCACAAAACCTTTCCCATCTAATTCCGCGAAATTGACTTCCATTATCGGAAATAATGATTTCCGGAAATCCCCATCTTAAACACACAAAATTTTTGAAAAACTCTATAACTGTTGTGGCATCAGCCTTTGATACGGCCTGAGCTTCAATCCATTTTGAAAAACAATCAGTGGCTACTATCAAATATTTATTTCCGGATTTCCCCGGAGGATATGGACCCATTACGTCGATGGACACAACTTGCCATGGACGTTCCGGTTCATTTGGACGTTGTCCAGCTAAAGGTTGAGGAAGTGCTCTTTTAGTAGTGAGACATGTTAAGCATTCCCCTACAAATTTCCTAACCTATTTTTCTACTTCTGGCCAAAAATTTGTCTGATAGTCTCATCCGCACCCGGATGACCTGTACCCTCATGGAATTTTTTAATAACTTTTTCCCATGCGTCCTTAGGAATAATTAATCTCTTTAATTTTCCATCTGGTGGACTATAAAACAACAAACCTGCATTATCTATTGAAAAGTCACTGTATCTCTCAGGATCCGCCCTGACTCTACGCGCGAAGTTTTTCACCCCATTACTCACACGTTGCGCTTCCACCATTTCCTCGAAAAATGTAACGGTTTGATTTAACACGCATTCTGGCTGTACTAATTCGACAAAGTCAAAATTTGCCACCTCCACTCTTATTTGATTCAAAACAGCTTCCAGCTTGGAATCTACCCCGATTTCTCTATCTTCCTGATGAGGAAATAACATTCTTTCCAACTCTACTTTACCATCCATACCGGATGTTTCGATACCAGGATTCCTAGATAAAAAATCTGGAAGTTGATTCAGTTTACCGGGAATGTGCTCGACTTTGAAATCGTATTCCTGTAATAAGAGGGACCAACGAGTAAGCTTAGCTTTCTCGTCCTTCATCCTATCCAGCCAGAGAAGTGCTGAATTATCGGTATATAATTTAAATGGCCCATCTTGCAGAAAATGCCTATATTTTTTAATAGCCCATACTATCGCAAGACACTCTATTTCATTAATATGGTATTTCTTTTCAGTCTCAGACAATTTTGCACTCGAATAAGCAATAATGTCTCTCTCACCTTTCTCTTTTTCTTGAAACAATACCGCGCCCATACCAATATGACTAGCGTCAGTTTGAAGACAAAATGGCCTAGATAAATCAGGCCGAGCCAGATACAAGGGTTGAGAAACTAATTCCTTGATTTTATTGAATGCTATATCCGCCTCCTTAGTCCACTTAAACCGCTTAGATTTATCAATTAAATCTGTAAGTGGCGAAGCCACATCAGCAAAATGGGGAATAAATTCCCGCAGCCATCCGGCTGTACCCAAAAATCCACGCAATTGTTTAAGCGATTTAGGAACAGAAAAATTTTCAACATTCAAAATATGAATTTCTTGAGGAAAATTCCCTTCTGAAGTAACTACTCTACCCAAATACTCCAATTTCTCCGATGCGAATTTACATTTAGATGGAGATACCCATAATCCATGAGCCCGTAATCGCTCAAACACCATTTTCAAATGGTCTAAATGCTCCTCTATTGAATTGGAATATATTATAATATCGTCTAAATAGACTTTACAAAAACTATCTACATACCCTGCGAGTACTGAAGAAGTTAAATTTTGAAAAGCGGCCGGCCCATTCTTGAGACCAAAAGCGAGAACACGAAATTCATACACAGATCCGTCAGGTCCTCCAAATGCAGTGTATTTACGGGAATCTGGACTAAGCTTCACTTGCCAAAACCCATTTCTTAAATCTAAACTAGTAAAGATTTTTGCATTACCCATTTCCCTAACCGTCTCCTGGATAGGAGGAAGGTGAGGCGCTTCAGGAATTATCAATTTATTAATTTCCCGATAGTCTACACAAAAACGTAATTTTCCATTTTTCTTAGGGATGAGGACTACTGGACTACAATACGGTGAGTTACTTCTATTAATAACTCCCGCTTCCAGCAGTTTGTCTATCTCCTCATGGATTATTTGTTTTCGACTATCGGACATTTTTGCATATCTAAATTGCTTAAAAGGCCGCTCGTGTGTCACTCTTATTGTATGTAT